ATAATAGAATCGCATAGATAAACGAAACAAAGAGAGTCGAGATAAATATAATTTAAAAATAAAATTCGTGTATTATACGAATTTAAGTAAAAAGATATTAAACCTTAATACCTTTGTAACTTTAACTTGGAAATATAATAACAGAAATATGTCTTTTTTTGTGATTTTTCCTAAATATCTTTTTTTTTCGGTTTTTTAACAATTTTTTACTCACTCCGCTCATCATATTATACGTGTATGATATATATGTATGTGGGAATGAGTGAGAATGTAGTGGATGAGATGTAAGGGGGAATGAATGAAATTTTAGACGAAAGTGTAGACATTAATTTTTCAATTCTTTCTCTTGTGCTATTATATTTCTTTCATCTCCTATATTTCTGCTACTTTTTAATGCTTATCACAGTGCTATTTTATTTAAGTTTAGAATTTAGCATTAAACAAATTGAAAATAAATTATATATGTTTATCAAGATTAATAAATGACTTATTGCTTATATCAATTATTAGGGTTGCTTTAAAAAACAATCTAAATGTCAATTCATAAAATTAGACGTACTGAAGTGTCCGAATATTTTTGGGAGTCATTATATATACCATCTGTCAAAATTATTTGACCACTTTACAAAATGATAAAAAGTTTCCTAAAATGAATGACGTATTAAATTTTTCGGAAATCTATTATTTATTCAAAGTATTAATAATTATGTTTGTATATATAAATATGTTTAAACATATTTTTTTTATCGCATCTATACATTCGGTCTTAATTATGTCTTTAATTTATTTCTTAAAATTACTTTCATAAAATTACTGAAGTTGTTAATTAGAATACCAAAAGGAAATAAGATAATACTAATTTAAGAGAAACGTAGCTGTATCGCGATGGAGCTAAGATTTAAATATTTTATTTTAAACATTCTATACAATTTTTTTCACTTTGTCTCTCGTGAGGTTTCTAATTAAATAGATTTATTTTTATAATTTGCCCAAGGAAATAAACAGCTGGTATTTCTTTTATTTATTATTTATAATTATTAAAACTATTATTATAAACGCGATCAACAAAAAATAAGTAATCAATGTATTTGAAAATATGTTTTGTGCAAAAAAAATTTTGATAATGCATGCAACATTCGGATTAAACGTAATTTGTTATTAACAAATAATTGATTTTCTGTACAAATACTATTGTAAGAACAATTTTATATATATGAGTGCCTCTGGTGGGACGTTCCGATGACGTAAACACTATGGAAATTCCAAACTCATATAATATATACGTTTTACCGTTTAACATAAGTGTGTTACGTTCCAACATATACGTATAAATTTTACTAGATAAGTCAAGTTTAAAACGTTTCTTTGTGTTTATATTTGTACATACAGCATACAGGATGTTCAGAAAGTTTAAGACCAAACTTATATTACGCATTATTAATGTGAGATCAAATATATGAAAAATGTTCATATAAATTTATGTCCGAAAATGTTTTATTGAAAAAATATATGCTTTTAAAAACATTTATAATTTATTGTAGTAGTTTTTTTCTGCTAGAATGCAGCCCTGCCGAATTGAATCTCAACTGTATTGGAAATAATAATGAATGTATTTAGAATATATTCCTAAAATTCGTTTATTATTTCAATCGTATTTTTATAAACCAACTCTTTTGAGTGACTACATAAATAGAAGTCGAGGGATATCGGGTTATTTAAAAGGCCAAATGGATTATTGAAGATTATTATTAAATCTCTAAATGCTTATATTTTTCCAATAAAACATTTTCGAACATAAGTTTATATGAATTTTTTTCATCAATTTGATTTCCGTAATACGTAATTTAAGTTTGGTCCCAACCATTTCAGATTTCCTGTATATACATAACTTGTTCGATAAGACAAAAGACATCAATTGTTTATAAGATAAAACATCAGGCAAAAGGAAAATCAATTAAGAAACGATATGATATTTCCCATTTGTCATATTTTTCGTCAGAGTATTTATCGGTTTTTGCAGATCATTTGTTCTTCCTTCGTCGAATTAATGATATGCGTTATAAATGTTGATTTTACTCAGAATATGATTTAAAAAAACACAAATAATTCTATTATTGCGTATATAATAAAATAATATATAAAACAAAACAAAACAAAATTATATAGGTTGCTGAATAGAATGCGAGGAAGTTACTGATATTTGTAATCTGCTTCTTGTTTATGTAGAATTATGAATTCAATAAACCCTGGTCTCCAAAGTGGGGACCATGTGATTCACAGAATGAGTAGACGAACATCGAACAAAAAAAACGCTTTAATTCATCGTCGGTGTTTGCCTTGATCGTAACGCGATATATAAAATCGTACGGAATCATTTAATAATAAAAGTACAAGACTCAGAGCATTCAAGTGTGTTAGATTTACATAACGAATTATTCCTCTAGTGTTAACTATATACTGTCGAAATATGTGGAAACTAATATCATTGTTGTTCGTTATCAACGTTTTCTCTTTGAAAGGTACATACGTATGTATATATATATATAACGGAAATTTATTTAAAAACAATCACGTATATTTACACGTGTATATATATATACGAAGAATTTATAAATTATATATTCGTTCGCGAAAACGTAATTCTCTGGTGGGTAAATCAGACAATATCATTGAGTTACATTGAGCATTTATAAAATTGAATTCAGTTACTGTATTATCTGAGATTCAGTAATCAAATATATAAATAGCTATGCTCGTTTTATCTCATATTGTAATATTTTTATGAAAGTATAATTAATATTATTAGGTAATTTTAAATAATGATGGTGATAATATTAATAATAATAATAATATAAAATATAATTATTACTTATTAAATATAATATTGATTGTCATTTTTTTCTTTGCAGAAAATAATTTGTTTCATTTAATATTTCTAATATATATATAACAAATAATTTACAGTTCCTTTTTTTTCTTTCGTTTATAGTTGTGTCATCAATACCCACTGTAGAGGAACGATACAATTTTTTCAACATCGATTTGTTGCAAGTAAGAACAAGCTCAAGAGAAATAGAATGCAATTGATTGTATTTATGTTATAATTCATTGATAAAATATTTTATTTTTAGGAGGTAATTAAACAAAACGAAGGAAATGTAATAGTATCGCCTACAAGTATCAAGTTAGCTTTAACAATTCTTGCTGAAGGTGCGGAAGGAGAAACTCGTCAAGAAATATACAATGCATTGAGATTTACTGAAAATGTCTACCAAATCAGGATTACTTCTCAGCGTGCTCTTACTGCTTTGAAAGTATGTTTTCACATCGATTAGTAATTCCTCGAATAATTAAATTAGTAATAACTTTTCTAAAAAAAGCTATATGTGCATATTTGTGTATATGTGTCCATGTGTATATTTACAATATCTTTGACCCACAGAGTGTAAAAAATGGTACGGAAATAGATGGAGCAACTCGATTGTGGGCTAAAAACGGTTTACCAGTAACGCAAGGTTACCGTGTTGTTCTGAGACAATATTATGATACAGACATTCAATTTCTTGACTTTAATAACAGACAAGCTACCGAACAAGAAATCAATAACTGGGTACGCGTTGCAACACATAACAACATTCAATCTATTTCAGATCCTGGTTGGTAGAAATTTGATTCAACTATCTGATCTATCTATATTGTTAATAATATTTATATGATTATCTTTTTGTTGCAGGCAGTATTAGTGCAGATACATCCTTAATTTTGACTTCAGCATTGTATTTCAAAGGACGGTGGAAGTTATCGTTTAATAAAAAAGCAGGATTCAATGGTTGTTTCAATGTTCCTAACATTGGTTGTCAAAATACTGACTTTATAGCTAACACAGCTGAATATCGTTATGGAAATATTGAATCCTTGAATGCAGATGTAGTAGAGATACCATATACTGTATGAAACAACATTATTCTTTGTAGTTTGATTTATGATAAAAGTGAATGAATTTATGCATATAAAGAATAATGTACAATTTTTATGTTTTAGGATGGAAGGACTGTTATGTTAATAATACTTCCTAATAATAAGGAAATTGATCAAAATCTTACAGTTTTGTCAAAGGATTTATCTTATGTATCTATGTCTGCGTTATTAGCAAATCTTTATTTAACAGAAGTTAATCTGATAATTCCTAAGTTTTCTATCGAAAATAAACTTGATCTTAAATCTATACTGAAATCTGTGAGTATCACTATTACATAAGTCATTCCTTTGCCAAATTGATTAACTCCACGAAACAAGAATTAGAAAAAATAGATAAAAAGTCGTATATATTAAACGATTCATATATTTTAATTATATTCTTTATCTTAATGTCATTTTTTTATTTACAAAAATTTCTTTTCAGCTGGGAATTCGCAGCATATTTAATACGAGGGCAGATTTTTCCAATATTGTAAATGATACTGTTATATACGTTAAAAATATTATACAAAATGCTAAAATAGAAGTTAATGAAGAAGGAACTGTGGCATCTGCAGTAACAGGTAATATAACTCTGTCAAAATGTTGATTGTTACCCTTGTTGCGAATATAATTTTTTAAATGATAAAATAATCGAAATGATTAAATATATTTATAGAATTATCAATTGTGCCGCTAATGGGATCAAGTATGGAAATATTCAGAGCCGATCATCCATTCCTTTTTGCTATAGTAGACTTGCAAACAAATGCAACTCTTTTTGCTGGTCGTTACATGCATCCTAATTTAAGTAATAAAAGTACTATTCAGTAAAGAATAAAGTACTTTTAAATATATGTTTATAAATACTTTTCTTTTTTATTAAAGACTACATTTCATGTTTACTATGTACACATTTGATATTTCATTTTTTAAATATAATCTACTAAAAATAATGAATTTTCTTTTTTCAAATTAGTAAACAAAAAAATAAAATCATGATTAGATTTGTATAACGCGGTCATATAAATGATCAATAATTATTGTTTTGCTTCATGCAAAACAGAATAGAAACAAAATGCTTTATTTATTATTGACCACTTGTTTTTTTATTTACATTCTCATAGAGAAAACAAATATCTATTAAATATACAACTAGTGTATAAAATATTTAATCCATCCATTCAGTTTGCTTCATACTTGTGTTTGATGTCTTTCCATAGTTTCTATAATAAAAAAAAAATATAAATTTATTTTGTTAGTATATTTCTTTTATGCCATATGAGTTTCATAATTCTCATCTAAATTAATTACTCCTTTAACAAGTTATTTTACTATCTTATTTTACAGTTATTTAACAGGTTATTATACATGCCTGCATCACTAAATTACATAATTCTTACTTCACAGAATTCATTACTCATTTTTTTTCACAATTTAAGACAATATACTTTATTGTCAAACGTAAGATATCAAACGAAGGTTATCGACAATGTAAACGACTTGTTTTGGAACACCTAACTGCTAACATTATTAGTAACATTGACATTAATTTATAATTTTTACTTACTCCTTTGTTGATTGATTCGAACAATTTATTGCTGGCTAAATCAAAACTACGTTCGAAGATAAAAGTTCCGCCTATTATAGTAATAACATATGTAGATGATCTTTTCAGGAAAATGTTGTACAACGTGGTACTAAAGCCCGACATTGTTTTATGTTATGTTAAACTAACAGCAAAAATTTTGATCAAAAACACCGTAGAAAATTACTCAAGTGACCTCGTTACGATACTCTCCGTTCATACAGATTTAAAGATGGCAAACTCGTACATAGAATTTGATTTTATTTTATCCGTGGATAATATATTGCTTAGAGTGTATAAGAGATAGAAATTATTGAATTTCTTTGTATTTTATTTTACTTTACTGATAAAAGATAACGTGCTTATGGCGTAGTGTCGATAAAGTAGAATTCTATGGAAGAAAACTGTTGAACCGACTGTTGTTATAATTTATTTGAACTTTAAAAATTTGTTCTGCTTATATATAAATGAATTTTATGAATCATCTTTTATATCTGCTATTTGTTGTTCAATATTTTGGCTAATTAAAAGAATAATCAATAACGTGGAATAATCAATGACAAATAATTTGACAGAGATGTTTGATCGATAAAGAATATTTTACAAATGTATTTCATTAAAAAATAGATTTATTAATATCGAACAAATATAAAACATGAAGAACACAATGAGTTTTACTCAAATATTATATATTAAATATGTATAACTACTAGATTGTTTTTTGACAGTGTCATGCGCCAAGGTATCCGTGGTAACCATTGATGTACAGTGGATTATTATTGCTTCATCGAACTGTTTGCATTGTTCACAGAGCACAAAGAGAAAAAATTAATTATTTATTAAAAGTTCTTTTTTCGCGAGATGGATATTTAAAAAAAAAATGAGCGACAATCAATCTATAAAAAGAATTGTGATATTAATTGATATGTTATGTTAATTTGTGAAAAGGAAGTAAATGCGGAAGAAAATCGGGGAAGATTTACGAAGAAGAAGAAAAAGGAAGAAATAGATAATAATAATAAGAAACAATTATATCGAATGAAAAGGAAAAGTAAATTAATTGAAAAGTTATAGATATATGTTACCATTATAACGTGAAATTCATTAATTCATAAAATAACCAGCTAAGCCATGAAATAACTATATTTACCTGTTAAAGTGTGGAAGAAGGAAGAATTACATACTTTAACTAAGTAAGTAATATAAGAATTCACGAGAGGCAAGTAGTTAAAATATGAAATTAAAATTTGATCCGCAGATTAAAATATCGAACAGCACCACTAACAGAACATTGGCTTTCGGAGTACAAAAAGAGATAAAAACGAATAACTACTAGCATTAATGTAGAAAAAAAAAAACAGACTTTAAAGACAAATCAAATTGAAATCTCTAATTTAACAACTCGCTTCTTGTGAATTCATATTTTATCAAGTTATTTCATAAAACAACTATTTTAAGTATATAATAACATTTTCTTTTTCTTTGCTTTCTTTAAAATGCCTAGTTATTTCATATAAGACGTAGGTGTATCATGGATTAGCTAAAGTACACACCTTAACGGTGACATATATATACATATACATACATATATATATATATATAGATACAGGAGTAGCCGTCATCAAGGAAACACATGGATACTAATTACAGAGCGAATATCGCCAAGTGGCTACCCCTTCCTGGAGTTGCCCTCGAGAACTGGCTGGCAGACTCTTCCGTGTTAAACGAGAGGATGAGCAAACTCGCGGAACGTATAGCCTTAATCATCGAGGATTTTGAGAAAGCACAAGCTTGTGATCTCGAGGTAGGAAACTATTGCTTTTAATTATTATAATCGTACCACTTCATCTCTCCATCCCTTTTATTCTTTCTTTTTTTTTTACTCTTGCTGTATTAAAAAAGTGTTCGACTGATTTTTGAATTTTATATGTTAATAAAATAATCAAATTTCATTACGAATCGTAACGTGATTACAGATATTCGAAGAGATCGGTAACAATCTTGAGGATGTAGTGAAAAGTTATCAATCATTGTGGAACGATATGATAGAGACATCGCATCCGATTTACAAGTATAAAATACAACACTTTTGTATAATTTTGAAAAAAAAACTCAACGTAGTAGCAAAGTTCACGCGTAATCTTATAACCGACATAGTCGATTCGAAAAGCGACAAGATACTTGAAATTATTTTTAAATTGGTCAACGCATATAACAAGATGCTCGATGTGGATCACGTTATTACGGATTCGTCCGTCAATGTTTTTTGCAATGACTGTCCATCTTTGTTAGAACCATTGAAGAAATTTTCCGTAACGAAAATATTACAAGTAAGAAGTTTTCAATCGTCGATTTAATTATTAGACATATAAATTATTTTAATAATCGTAGATATTGGCGAAAAATCGTGCGGAGGAAACGTGTCACGAGTTAATCGACTGCCTGTTAGCAAATTACGAGCCACATACAAAAGAAGACGTTACATTAACACCCACGGACATTGACGTTTCTGAAAATTCCAGCATCGAAATATATAGGTCGATTAGTTCAAATTTAATGACTTCGATCGATTTAATGCTATCGTTGTAGATGATAAATTAATAATATTTGAATTTAACATCCTCTTCTAGAGCACTCACGAGGCACTTGACGCCACCGATTGCAAGCGATGCCTCGACATTTCAACAAACGCAAGCATCGAATCTTGAGAGTATTCAAGCACTTGTAAATACTCAGAATGAACAAGTCCTCAGACTTCTCAGTATCGTCCGAGATATTTCACCGCAGTTGCTTGGTTCCGATGCTTTGAAGATCACCGAGGGTAAGATCCTTCCTCATTTTCTTTTGAAGTAATGATTATTCTGTAAAAGAAATTTAACGTGAAGAAGAGAGCATCTTCAGAAACTTTTCTTTTTAAAATAGAGAGTTGCTTGTAGAAAGTTGTTCATTAGTTAACTTCAACGAAGAAAATTTCTTGTAATAATATTAATTATAATAATAATGTTATACGTTATATAAGAGAGTAGCCCTTACGGGAAATTAGTTTACTTTTTAATCAAGAATTCAATGACGCATGATTATTTTACTTCGTGTATATATCACTTAATAAAAATTAATTAACTATTTTGTTTAATTGAATAATGAACCACTTATGTATAACTTATAATAATTAAAATATTTTTGACTGACTATTGTATGCAAAAATTTGATGCTTTTCATAGTGGCTAAATGAATAATTCAAATAGATTATGAAAAATTCTTGAATATTGATAATAGCAAAAATTTCATTATTTTAAAACTATTAAATACAATAAATAATATCACAATAACGGCTTGCACAATTTTCTATTTTAACAATAAATTGTTTGCACGTGCAAACACGAGTAGATTCGTGATCGTTCAAAAGTGTGTTTAAATAAAAATTAATTCGAGTTAAATATTATATATATATTTTCTCGAATTGTTTATAGGAGAAAAGAGATTGAAAAGTAGCGCAATAAGAAAAGTAAAAAATTATTACCAAGAGGTTGCTTGGGCAGCTCTTTCCGGGATGTTGGATCACGTTGTCCTTTGGTGGTCACCGGAAGCTTTGGCTTCTCATCATAGTCACGGTGCGGAACATTTGAAAAACTGGTTGAGACAATTCATTCAAAAAAATGCGGGTGAGGCACGTAATCACTTTGCGAAATATATAAAATGTTAGAAATCAAAGAGTTCGAATAATTCGATGATGATATTTTAGTTCCGTTGACGGTGAGACCTGCTTTACAAAATTTATGCGATGCTCTCGGTTATCATGTTACTATTACATCTTGGGACCAATTATTTCGATTAGCGTATACGTCTGCTTTTGAATGCCAATCGAGACCTTCTACTTCTGAGGTCGGTCTTTATTTTTTTTTTCTCTTTAAAATTAATTGTAATTATATTAATTCTGTTTTATATTTGTTATATATAAATATATATTTATTTTATTGTATTATGTTATATAAATGTATATTTTCTTTAGTATTAAATAATTTAAATTACTTTAATTTTTAATTTATTTTGACTTAATATTTGCTTAATTCGTTAAATGTATTATGGATGTTAAATGAATATGTATATGCCCATCTATCTTTTTTTCCCCCTTTCTCTTTCTCTTTCTCTTTTTCTTTCCTTATTTTCTTTAATAATATACTTCGTAGTAGATATAGAATTTAAATTTCAAATATCTTGACCGTCGTGTCGGATTTAATTATAACCCTTTTAACGATCTCTCTTTAACCGTTTTCTAGGGCACGGACACGGGTCAAATGTTCACCGAGCTTTTCCAATTACTGGTAACGCTGAGCAACGAGTGCGAGGTTGGAGGTGAATGGGTGATCGGCGCGCCGTTAATGGAATTGCCGATTTCAGAACAGATCGTCGTCCTTCACAGACTTGATCACTCGGTCCACACTGCTAGGCTCTGGGTCATGCAGGAATCCAAGATGATAGCTCACACTTGGGATTTGGATGTCTTATTTTTAATGGTCAAGGGCGATGTCGTCAATTCTCTCGAAGAATTATCCTATCTCAAGGTCAAAATTATTATCAACGTCTATGGGATTTTTTTATTTAATATAATTGTTCAAAATTTAGAGAGACAGTGTTTGTGCATCAATATATTTCTCATCGATATATATATATATATAAAAATTTTTAATCTTATCATTAAAACGTATTTTTTGAGTATACTTACTTTGTTTCTAAAATCAGATTCAATTGTCGAATCAAATCTCTATCGATTGTAGCTCGCTGATCATTCGAGTGCACTTTCAGAGGAATCTGTTAGCGTTCAAGTGCTCGTTTGCGTCAAGATGAGAGCGAAAATCGTTTCCGAAGTGAACGTCAATGTACAGTTGTTGCAGGTAATACCATGATTTATTTACAGTTTATTCTAGAAATAAAATTATATATTGAACGATCAATAGTACTTAACAATAAGTAATTATATTCAAAGTTTTAACAAGCTATCTTTATTGAAATAATGATAATATATTATGATTCTTTCACATATAGTTTTATTAAATTAATTGAAATAAAACGACAGATATTATAATCGATGGCAAATTGTTATCAAGGTTGACATCTTTTGCAAAATATAATATATATAAATTATTAAAAATTTCAATGATATTAAAAAAAAATCTGAGTATGTGTAATATTTTAAAATAAGATATTTTTTACTTACGTATTACATATCCTTGAATCGACAGGATACACCGGCAAAGTGTATGGACATTCTCGCCAAGATTTGTCGTGTGGTTAGCCTTGCGAATTTACACATGTGCTTCCCACGATCAAATTACTGGAGGAAGAGCAGCGATGTAGCACCTGTGACAGCAAGTCTCTACGTTGAAACTTATTTTGGTAACGCATTGATCCTAATGCACTTGCATACGCATACTTTTTTAACAACGACCAAATTTCAATAAATGTTTGGCAAGGACGTTTCTTTTAGAAAAGGTGTTGTTACCGGTTCTCGAGGTTATCGAGGATCCTGATATTTCAAATATGATTTTAAAAATAATGTGCGAGGCTTGGCTCGATTACATTTATTTACATCGTATCAAATTTAGGTAAATTCGATCGTTTACGTATATAAATAACGAATTAAATCGATCAAAGTTTTATTTATTCATTCTACTTATCATTTCTTTTTTTTTTTTTTTCTTTCTCTATTCGTTTCCAGCGAATACGGTGCTTTTCAGTTATTAACAGATTTTGCTTACGTCTCTACATGGGTAAAAGGATGCTCGATAATTTCGCAAAATGTGAGAAATCACTTGTTGAAGAATGAAGTGTTACGACGTTGCGAAGGTGTCGGACGACTTCTTCTTAGGCATCCAGGAGAAGCGATTGCTATGCACAAACGATTTGGTAAGTGTATTTTGCTTCTTCGGGAGAACAATCGGGGATTTCAGAGTCGACGTCTTTGTTCAGAATCCAAAGAGAGAGACGGAGAGAGAGAGAGAGAGAGAGAGAGTGAGATACAGAGAGAGAGAGAGATAGTAATACTCGAGAAAGCATTTCTCAAGTGGCTAGAAAGTAATTAGTCTCCGTCATCTCCATTCACTCTCTCTTTCACGCAACAAGTACAAAAGTATGTTCGGTGCTTCAGCTCGTAGGACAAATGATAGCGGATCACCGGAATCACCCGGTCTCGAGCGGATGCCAGCGGAAATGTATGTCCCGAATCAGGAACAATGGCTCGAACTTCGAGCACCGAAGCGATACAACTTTTGCTGTACCGAATAAGTGAAATAAATTCAACCAGTACCCTCGGACTTCTTCTTCTTCTTCTTCTTCTTCTAACTTCTTTTTTCTTTGTTCGTTTATTTATCTTATGGTTGTTGCCTACGAAAGAATCGTTTTACATTTAACCATTTTTTGATATAATTCTTCTAACCCCGAAGAAAGTTAATAAGATTACTTATATATAATATAATTGGCCTATTCTTTCGAATAATTTCATTTTTGTTGAATTTGAAAAATTACGTGATTTATGCTACTTATTCGCACTCACGTTGAAGCCCAATAAAGTACAGAAGCCTTTCCATGCATGGCTGAAGTATCGTCTTACGTTTCGCATCTAGATAGTAATCCATTTCTCGCCGATCATTAACCTTTGAAAACTTTGAACCATGTATACATGGTATATATATATATATTTTGTTATATTTTTAAACGTAAACATTATTGTTTTTTCTTTTTTTTTATTGATCTGTGAATATTATTCTTTTATATATTCCCTATATATTTTATAAGGTCGTATGTAAATATATAGATTAGGTATATAAAACAAAAATGTATGTATTTATATATCCATATTACAAAAGATGAAGAAATTATTAGATCTAAAAAAATAATAGTCACTGTAGTAAATATTTCCATTATTAATATGTTTATAACGATCAAGTGTTCATATTTCTTTTAACAATTATGTAATATTTACAATTGATTAAGATAAAAGAATACCAATAGAAATGTTTTTTTTTAATAACTTTAAAAATATCAATGTTAAATGTGTATAATGAATAAATAAAAAAAAAAACAAAATTATTAATAGTACAAGTATTTTTGTGTGATCTATTTATAACATTTTAACAATTAAAGAGAATTATATTCAATATAACTTGATTCAATGCTTTGATTAATTTAATTTTTCTTCTAATTATAAATTATACTTTAGAGAACAAACAGTGCTTATATATTTTATCATTGTTCCTAAGATTAATTGAGATTATTACTGGTATTCTACCGAAATCATTTCAGGGAATGTTTTATTCGTGTTTGAATTCAGTATACGGGTTTTCAATTCAGCATTGGTTTATACCACAAAATAAAAATACATCGAGCCGACTCATGTTACATTCTCGATTCCTCTATTCGCGATTGGTTTTATGTAACATAACCAGTTCGTCATATTTTTATCGATGCAAATATATACGTAAATACTTGTATACAATTACTATAGCGTCTCGTTGAATCATTCAGCATTATCATCTTATTACTTAGTTTCTATTTTCTTACGAAGACCTATGTTCTTTTAAGATTTATTTTTCTCTTCTAATTGAGACTACTTTTGAATCTAATTTTATCGGCTAACTTTTTTTCTTCTTTAATCAACAAGATATATTCTTAGAAATTATTTACAATCATTGACGTGTAACATTATTGTCAAATGTTTTATATATTTGATTGATTTAAACAACAACAAAAAATACGATTTTATGTCAATACATTCTTTACTTGTAATATCATTTTTTTATTCATTAATCAAATGAATATTTTTCTAAACAATTTGTATGTTACAAAAGACTTAAAAATTACTTCGGTATAAGTTCATTTACAACCAAAAAAGAAAACCTCGTTCTTTATAAAAGTTTCATTTATTACTATCGAATCAATAAAATTGAACATGTTAATTTACTTGAAACGAAAAATAACTTACATATAAAAGCATCGTTGGTTCAGCTACCCCTCTTGAAACCTTTTTTATCCTATAGGATAACACGATCTTGTAGTAAGGTGAACTGAGTTGGGAGAAGAGTCGAGGAGAGACAACAAGGGAAAGAAAGTGTTGGTAGTGAGCGAGTGTTAGCATAACCATCGCCATCGTCGCAGTCTTTTCGTTTATCGGTCAACGTATTTAAAATCAAGTTAAAAAATCTACTCGAATTTAATCGCCTTTTCGTAGAATCCAATTATACTTTTTGCATTATTTCACTAGTTTTTCCATTATCACCTTCCAATCAATATTCTTTCCCTTTTTCTTCGTTTCTATCACATAAAAACGTGCGCGCGCGCGCGCGCACGACGAGGTATGCGTGTAACAGAAAGAACTTCGTTGACCAGACAAATCGGTTCATCGGATCATCTTGAATTTTCGAGTCTCTTGAGAACGAGGAGAACTCAAATTCGGAACTTTCAATGCTGCATCTGTGCCAGTCTCATGTAAGTCGAATATTTGTGTAATTTTTTGAAAAGATAACAGAAAAAAAAGAAAGGTTTTATTATAAAGGTTTAATATAAAGTTTAAGAAAGGAAGATTTATAATATAAATATTCGTAATATAAAATAAATGATCAAAGAGAAATGTTTGAAATTTTTGAATATCTATTCAAGTATCATAATTATGGATAGATGTTACATCGTGTTTAAGCGTAATTAGATAGTTTAGTATCGGTTTAGTACCGTTAGATATCAGCTTATTAACGAGGCGAAACACATTTTCTTCTCATGGAAACCTATTCTCGACAGGGTCGAGAACGTTTTCGAAAATTACACGTTACGACCATTTTCCTGTCCGTTAAATCGCTTAATATTCGTATTACGAATACTAAATGATAATCCACGTAACGCGTTGTTTTACGTTACGATCATTAACTTCTGGATGATCTGTTTACGGGCTTTTAATTTGATTTACGAGACTGCATGCTTGAATTCTCTCAACACTTTGGGAATGCACCGGGGTCGAGAAGAGTATACGCTCTCATAATTAAATACCTTTACTTAATTACACGACAATGTAACTTAGGAAATAGATAGGTAGTTACTACTACTATCTACCTATCTAGGGTTGGAAAAGCGAGAGACAGGAGAAAAAATTTCAAACGATTCCTCGATTTTTCTTGGAAACGGGAACAGGAAAGGGAAACAGGAACAAGCTGTGGAATTGGAAGGAAGGTACCGATTCTATCGTTAATTATTTCGTGCCTTCTATACCTTCTTTTCTTTTCATTTCTTTCTTCTCTCATTGTACCACCGTATCTATTCTCGTTATCCTTCGTTCACCACACCCGTTCATTACACAAGTTCGTTATGCGAATTAACGAGAAATACTCTTGCTGCGTGCGCTTTTATATAAAGTAATAATATTATAAAAGAGAAATACGCGTTTTGTTTTGTGTGATGTTATTGATTATTCGTTTTTATAAAGAAAAGTGAGTCTTCGTGTGATTTTCAAACGATCGCATAATCGCTGCGTAACCTGTACGTCGCGCGGATTTGAATAAAAAAAAAAAACTTTATATATCTACGTTTCGTAAGTAGTTTCTACTTACGTAAATTCTTAACTCACCTCGAGTGGTCTATCGATATACCAATACGTTTTAGTTTATCTGTTGCCGCGTTAACGTACGGAAGGAAAGATGTCCGCGTCGGAAAAGATTCCGTTGGCCCATGCTGCGGAACCGCAATCATATTACGTGCACGACACCTATCAATTTCATTCGCGTAGGAGTAAAACGGAACTACGAATACAATATCTTACCCTCGTCGTTGCACTGTGAGTTCAATCGATCAAATATCATTACTTTCTTTACAAATTTCACGATTTATTCTTTATATCTTTGCGAACTTTAATCGAATAGAATGATCGATATAATACAAAAAGAAAAAATATATACTTCGTTTGTGAATCGTGTGAATCTTCGAAATATAATATTATCGAGAGATCGTTGTCGCCCAAAAATTCGATGATTTACGATTGTTCATTCGAATCGGAAAGCTTTGTTGCTTTCGGATGATAATAATTAATCGAGCGAAGAACCGGGGAAATAGTCGAGATATTTGATTTAAAATACATGCGTGATAATTAGAGTACGAACATAATACACGAAATTACGTTTATTACATGCCGTTAATATATTGCTATTCCATGTATCAAATTTGTCGCGTATCAACGTTCACGTTTCATCGTCCGGAACATAGATGATATATATTATAAAATAGCGTCGATTCTATGCGGCTTAAATGAACACACGAATACAATAAAATATATAGTAATAATATATTATATCCAATGCATATATACCGACATTGTATTTTAAACGTAGGTCGATTCGCGTTACGTGACGTCGACCTTGATTACACGAGTAATCGAACAGCGAACAGGCGCTACGACGTTCGATTTTTACCCCCTCCTACCCTCCCCCCTCACTTCCATCCTTTTTCCTCCTTCTCATCGTCTTCTCTCTTACTCTCTCTTTCTCTCCCTCTCTAATACCCACTCTTATTCTCTGTTAATTGCAATTAAGCGTACTTCAACACTTTGAGTTCTGATCGATTTACATAATGTAAGGATAACGCCGCCCTCGGTTATGTAACTACGACATTCTACTGAATATAATTGGAACAAACCCGAGGACTAAGTACTCTCGACTGGACTCGAATAGAAAAAATCTGTAATTACCGAATAATCAATTTCGCGACCTCGATCGAGAAGTTTTTTTGTTGTTGTTGTTAACATAGCACATACAAGAACAAGAGAGAAAGAGAGAGATAGTGAAAGCGAACTAATTATTGCAAGAATATTTGTCTTATCCGATTTTCGTTTGAGAACAAGAGAAAGAAAAAAAAACATAATTAGGAAGTAATAAATATGATTTTTCGTTTAATTATTTGATCATTTTTATTAATCGTTTGTCGAACTTTTTCAGAGCAATATTCACGATAGCATTGATTGTGACGATCAGTTATTCCGTGAGTCAATCTGATAATGGAACAACATCTAATGTGACATCGACTACGACGGATTCATCGGAAACAAACGATAGTGTTACTTTAAAATTGAGTCTATCCCCGGGATTCGATTCGCATACTTTCAGCAGTACTACAGATATTAATCATTTCGTTTATGGAGCAGATAGTAACGTTAACTTTTCAACGATACAGAACTTGACTGATACTGAATTGAAAGAAGCTCTTTTGGCTGGTCAATTGGCTGTACAATTGAGACTTTCTGCTGATACCGCAGCATTGTCTTCGCCTTTACCATCCCCATCGCCAGAATCACGACATCGATGGGCAGTCAGAACGAATGTCAACGTAGGTGGATTAGCTTTGGCTGCCATTGGCGAGATAGCCGCTACAAAGAAGATCGAAAGCACGAGATCCTTTTTAGGCAAACCTTCAGCTATCGGTTACTTTTTTGACGGTGGCTGGGCACCGAAAGGTGTTTGCAAAGAGTTTTTAAATGTTAATTGTACTATCGGCAAATATAGGAGTTTCGATGGAACCTGCAATCGCCCAAAGCAACGAGGCTCAGCTTTGATGCCATTTAAGAGACTCTTATCAGCAGATTACGCTGACGGAATCGATTCGCCTCGAAAAGCACGTTCCGGAAATGAGTTACCTTCAGCAAGAGAGGTCAGTTTGAAGGTTCATAAGCCCTCGCCCAGTTCGAATCCTTCGTTCACTGTGATGCTAGCTGTGTTCGGCCAGTTTCTCGATCACGATATCACCGCCACTGCGATCAGTCAGGGCGTTAACGGTAGTTCCATCTCCTGCTGTCCACCTTCCGTTGGTCATCCAGAATGTTTTCCCGTTTCTGTGGGATCGGGTGATCCCGTTTACGATGTCACTGGAAAAACTTGTATGGAGTTCGTTCGATCGGCACCAGCTCCTCAATGTAAAATTGGACCAAGGGAACAACTTAATCAGGTGAACAACTTATTTAATTTATCATTTTTTTTATTTTCTGATCTCGCGTCAGTTGTGCAAAATAATAAATCATTTTACTTTTAGGTGACCGCATTTATCGACGGCTCAGCAATATACGGATCGGACTCGAATGTTGCTCATAGTTTGCGTGAATTCTCAGGTGGACGATTGAAAATGCAAATGACGCCAGATAACAGAACTCTTTTACCACCAAGTTTAAATCCTGATGACGGATGTAACAGAGAGGAAGAACGTTTAAGAGGACGTTATTGTTTTCTCGCAGGGGATCCAAGAGCGAATGAGAATCTACATTTGACGACTATGCATTTGATTTGGGCTAGACAACACAATAAAATTGCTGACGAATTGGCCAAGGTCAATCCGATTTGGACGGACGAACAGATTTATCAGGAAGCTCGTCGTATAATTGGCGCCCAACTTCAGCATATTGCTTATGAAGAATTTCTTCCAATTATAATAGGAGAACGGGAGACGAATCTTCAAAACTTGAGACCATTGACTTCGGGTTATAGAGAATGGAACGAAAGTCCTGATGATCCGACAAATGACCCGACTATAGCTAACAGCTTTGCTGCTGCAGCTTTTAGATTTGCTCATACACTTTTGCCCGGTTTGATGATGATGACAGACGCTCAAAAAGGCACTTCCTCTTACATTGAACTTCACAGGATGCTTTTTAATCCGTATAGTCTATATTCAAGCGATGGTATTAGTAATTCGGTAATTTCGGCTACTAGCAATGCCATTCAAAGGACTTCAATTCATGTCACATCGCAATTAACGAGACATCTTTTCGAAGATCCGATTAACAACGTTTCAATACCTTGTGGTCTCGATCTCGTATCGTTGAATATTCAACGTGGGAGGGATCACGGACTACCTGGTTATACTAAATGGAGAGAATATTGTAATTTAGGGAAACCCGAATCGTTTAGTGATCTGATCGATCACATGGATCCCGAAGCTCTCGATGCGATATCAAAGCTATACGAATCTGTTTACGATATTGATCTATATACTGGTGCATTGGCGGAAATACCGAAAACCGATGGGATCGTTGGTCCTACTTTTACATGTTTAATTGCTGATCAGTTCGCTAGATTGCAGAAAGGAGATCGATATTGGTATGAGGTGCCAGGTCAATCACATTCCTTTACGGGAGGTAAAATATTGCTCTGATATACTCATATATATTTAAATAGCTTTAATTGTACATTATCAAACGTTTTAATTCTTAATATTATCGATTTCAGAACAATTGCAAGAATTACGTAAAAGTTCCTTAGCGAGAATATTGTGCGACTGTTCTGATCATATAACGCAAATTCAATCAAAAGTAATGCAATCGATTGATATCCACAATCCAATGATGTTATGCGAAGACTTACCGGAAATGTCTCTTGAACCTTGGAAGGAAAATCGTCCAAAGGTACCAATGCTAAAAGTAACTCCGTTCGCTGTGGACTGGTTGAATTTTAAGAAAACTTTAAATGATACAATTCAAGAAATAGTGACGTATATTAACAATACTAAAACCGATTTACCACCGGGTAGTCCCGATTGGCTAGATTTTCATAATGAATTGAATAACACATTTGCGGAGATTAGGAACCAGCTTAACGATTTACATCCAACAAAGAAACCAGTGGAGATGACACCTTACGAAGATGGGAGTTTTATTTTACGAGGTCCTCCTGGAGCAGCCATGCTCATCGATTGGATAAATTTCAAAAGCGAAATCGTAAAGACATTGAACGATACCATTGGAGGATTTGGAAGTATTCCACTGAATACTACCGATTGGATCGGCTTAAAAACAAAAATCAAGAATCAAACGGCCGATTTGGTATCTCAAATTATTTCTGCAAAGAAGGATATCTTTTCTAAATTTCTATTGAAAAATAAAACGACTGAAATGGCGATAAGTAAAGAAAGTATTGCAGCCATTTTTGATTGGAAAAATTTTAAAGGCAACATAATCAATTCTATTGACGATGCTTTAACGAATATTGCTTCTAATATGCCTGGACCTGGCGATCCAGCTTGGGCTACTTTCGGAGAGGATAATAAAGCTCGTTTCAATACTTTTCATGATAAGATAATTGCCGACAAATCGATTATGCCAACAGAGTTAGCTGAACAACCAGCAGATCCGACATTAGACTGGATGTCCATTAAAACTGATATCTTGAATACGGTATCGAATACCGTGCAAAATATAGAAGCATACATGCCACCTCCTGATGATCTCGAAGCGTGGTTAACTTTCAGAGATAAGATTATGAAAAGTTTTGCCAAGATCAACAGTAAGTTTACTGCAAACAACAAAACTATTTTAAAGAATCCATTCACTTATCCAAAAGTGCCATTTGAACGTGCAGCTACCGTTAATCCAGGCAAATCAAAAGTAAATCCTATGACACTCCAACTCGTTAATTTAACAAACGATTGGTTAGATTTTCAAAGTAAAATAAAAGCATCTATCGCACAAAAAATCGCAGATATTAAAAGCAAAAATCAAACGATGATAGATCCGGTTGGTTGGATTATTTTTGGTAACTCTTTCAAGAACGAATTTGCGGAATTGAAAGATGAAATTGTTGGTATCAAAGCCAAATGGGTTGATTTATTCAACATGGACGTAAACAGTATCGTCAAGTCGCCTACGCTTAATTTCAAAGAAACCACCAAGATTGGGAAAGCTTCGTATAGTAATAACATTACGGTCAAAGCTGCTCCTTTTACGAAACCAACGTTCTGGCCATCAACGATCATACCAGAAAATGATTGGGTCACTTTTAAAAATCAAATTAACGAGACGATAATGAATTTGTTTAAAACTATTAATACAACGAACGATGGTTGGGCTAGTATCGGTGACATGTATACGAAATCAATTAACGATTTGAAAAATGAAATTGTTGCTTTGAAAGCATTAATTGTGGCAAATATTACAAATTCTAAACCTGCCGATGATTGGATCAAATTCCACGCGCAATTGAATACTACCGTGAATGATTTTATTCAAAATCTAAGGAATCAAACACAGTCAAACCTTATTGGGATAATGAAGATACTGTTCGATGCTAAAGATAAATTTTCTACTCTTGATCCACCGACTTTGCCTTTGGCAAATGAAATGGAGAATTGGGCTTCGTATTTTGTCGATCTTAATAAAACTATCGACAACGCTTTGAAGAATATTGATAATTTAAAGCGTCCCATGGCGATAGTAAAAGCAGGCGAGCCCATCCCGTCATCGTCTGATACCATCAAAGTGTCGAGTTTCATTAGTTGTCTAAGTTTTGTTATAGTCTCGGTCCTGTTGAATTTTACCTCGTTTAAAACAGTGATAATATATATTTCATAATAAAATAGAGAGATATATATATATATATATATATATGAATATTTACTAGTTTTTAACACGATTATTCGATCGTCGATATTTTTTTATATTAATATTCTTACAAACTAACAAATAATCAAATGGACGTTTGAAAAATAAGGTGTTAATGAAATAATATATTCCTTTTTTTATACTGTAAAAAGTTACCAATAAAAAAAAAATAGTCCTGAGTATTATTAACATAATTAAATGAAACGTTTAAATCGAGATAAATTATACAGTTAGACTGAGAAGTAATGCGGTACCACGTGTCACCCATAAATCTGTTTCTTCCGGTAAAGTTTTTAAATCAACCGCAACAACGAAAGCAGGACGACTTTGATCGCCGGATCTTTGAGGGTAATAATATGTCGGACAAGTGTAGAGTCCTAACAGAAAAATAACATTACACAAATGATTATATTAATGTATAATATAATATACCTATAGATTTATATGGAAAATTTTTCAAAATAAGAAATCGTAGATTATTATATATATATACCTTTAGTTTTTTTCTTTAGACGTTCGGTTGGTTTAAAGTGTATCACGGGCATGTCGTAAACAAGCTGCATTGGTGCAGGTTCAACAAGCATCGCATTTTTCTTGTCCCATCCTGCTCCCTCCAAGAACATTGATCGCACGTACACACCATCCTGTCATAATAAAGTGACTTCTTTTATTTTCTTTTTTTTGTGTTCTTTTTTTATTTTTTTTTTTATTTGTTTAGTTTTGTTTTCTCTATTTTGTCAGTCATTCATTTGTACGCTTGTTATATTAAAAATTGCATATACATATATCAAATATTCGGGAGAAGAGAGAAATGGCAATCAATTTACCGTTGCCTCGATGGCATACGATATAGTTATCGATTAATGACGGAATCGTACGATTTGATATACGGAAACGTTCAATCAAATAGAAACAACGAGGCTGACGTTGAAAAAAATAAATTGTTTCGTTGTTTTTTGTTTGTTTCATTTTTCCTTTTATTTTATTTTTCCTTTTTTTTTTTTGTAAACTTCCCCCTCTCGCCCCTCCACCCTTGCGTTTTCTCATTGCCTCGTATAGGTGCGTTAATCATTTTATGCTAGATAGGCATCGGTTGCGTAGCGAACGAAAACTAAATCAATTTAAAGCGCGTTCGATGATAGCAATGATAAGAGTATTAAATGGACATATAAAAATGTCCGTTTATTGTTTGATTTTTTTCTTTTTTTTCAGGCTCCCCATCCCCTATTCACCATCACCCCATTTGTTTTCTCGCACTAATCGTTGATTGCTATCAATACCGATGTATATTTGTTTTTATATGAAGTGAAAATCTAACGTTAATAATGGATGAACGATCGATCTACATTGTCAATTCTTTAGTTTAACCCTTGTGTTATCATAATTTACCGTAGGTGGCTCGATGATGGTAGAGTCATCGACCGTTTGAACTACAAATTCCCATGATAACGTATCGATCGATATATTCAACATTCTTGCTGAAGTTTGTAATACGGCTGTGAGGAAACCTGTTGGAAACGTGTAAGCGGCTAGCCAGAAGAGCACAGGCGGATGCATGGTCTCAGCCCAAGAAGCAAAATGCTCAATGCGGCTGATCAAATCTCTGGTCCAAGCACCGAGAAGCTTTAAGGATGGATAAGCGGTCAGCCAAAGTGAAGGAACTCTTCCTTCGTACATACACGTAAAAATCTCTTCCAAATCTGACGACATCAAGATTAAACCACGTATTCCACGTTGCAATTCTTTCAAACTGTTACGGATTTTCGTTAATAGTTTGTTATAGCGATCTATCTCTTGAAGAAGTACTACATCGAGAGGTTTCTTGCTAGGGCCTATTAATCGGTAGATTGTTTCGTAATCTATGTTTCCTGGTACTTTCGAGAGAACGTCTGTAGTTAATTGTATCACCTTTAACATAATATCAATGATTACTCGATAAACATTATTTGTTTTTCATTTTTATGCCGGTAATTATGATGCCGATTAATTTCTTTTAAAATGTATTCTATATTATTCACAATTATAATATATAATTTGAATAATAATATTTTTATAATATAAATAATTGTATTTATATAAGAGATAAATCATAAAAAATTTATTAAAAAGAACGTTTTTTAATTTACTGTCATAATTATTGGCGTATCGGTAGAATAAAGATTTTAATTGAATCAAACCTTGTCCTCCTTATTCGCTTCTTCTTCGGTACTGATCGTTTGAATCTGAAGACTCATTAAAGTTGTGCACATATTTCTCGTTTCCATGATAAGACTTGTTATGTCTGCGTTAGGATGTTGTCCAAATGCTTCTGGTCTATCGACGGTTGGTAACATCATGATAAAATCACGATAGGATTCCAAGGAACCGTCTCGTGGTATGTAATATGTTGGCAGTGATGACAAACGATAATAAGGGGTGGTCAGAACTTCGTCAGTGAAATATTGTTGAACGTACGTCATCAACAATCGGCGATCCCAGTCATCAGTTACATGACCCCCATAACAAACGCCCGCAATAAGATATTTCAAGGACTCCCATGGTGTGTCTGGATATTCGTCCAAATAAACTTGAAGAATATTCTCTGATACCTGTATCATCGAACGCATAACATATTAATCGGTTTTTTATATTGCTTGCCAGTTTATTTCTTATTCCTTTCAAATTGACCTCGAAGTCGGAATCGTTGAAGCTGTAAATGACGTTCCACCCGAGTTGCTGGAACTTCTTACGTTCTAAGAGAATCGAATGGAAGTAGACAAGAACAAAGAGTAGCTTTTTGTATTTGGATTTTGCTTGGCACATGTCGAATTGGGCCTCCGTGACGAGGCTATACAGTCTCTTCATATTGGCTTTCAATCCTTTAGGTGGTTCCGTCGTCATTTTTATCCCAGCTTGAAGGATTGATATAGGAAAGTCAGGAGTTGGACTCGAGCTAAGCCATAATCTGTAAAAGGATCGATACTTTCCTTTATCGATTCTCTTATCGCTTTATTTCGATACTGTCGTTAGGGAATACCTGAAGTTTGGATTCAAAGCTTTGTTACTGACAAGGGTCTCGACAATCTTGTCCAATTTCGGCATCCAGCTGAGCGATAAGTGGCAATTTGCTAGGAAAACCCATAATCCCTCTTTTGCGCCAATATGTATCATTCTAAAGATAAAAGTTAAACGTTATAAAATTAACAAATATATGTTATATATGTTACCGTCAATGCCGGAAATCAGACATTGCTAGTAATTCCTTACTAGCAATGATTAATTTCCAGCTTTGACGGTAACATCATATACATTGAAAATAATAGCAGACTTTGTTGCTATAGGTGCTTGTCCTTGACCCAATGATAGGCTTATAAATTTGTCTGTCATTTCTTGGCTTTCTGCGAGTTGCATTAAAACGCTCGTGGGATCCACACCGGGTGAAAGAACAAAAATTAATGGTGTATGAGCTACGGAGTCATCCAGGACTGCTTTTAAATCAAGTACCGGTGGTTCGACGAATTTTTGATCTACATTTCGTACGATAAAGTTTACGATCGCTGAAGACATTCTATCGGGTCGGCAGCTACGTACGATCATCATTTTTTGAAATGCTGTACAACCTTCTTCTAAATCGCTAATGAGAGGAATATTTTCCGGTTCCGTACTGATATACCTAATTATGACAAATTAAAAAAACAAAAAAAAAAGAAAGAAAATAAGATCGGATAAATGATATCAAAGAATGAAATAATTTGATCAAATTATGAGGAAACTAACCAATTGTGCCAATCCCGCGGGTATTGTTCGAATGATGAAATCAAACCGTGAAATCCTGGTAGCTTGTCTAGTTCTGTTATATTGTCCCAAGTTTCTGGAGGCAACCAAGGTACAGGCTTGTCCGGCTGATTCTCTCGATCCAGGACGATTCCACCTCTAAGAAGAAAAGTATATTCCCCAGGGACTATCTTCCCTTCAGCGTCTAATATCTTAATGCACATATTGAAGGAAAATAATAGTTTGTGTTGCTCGAATAATCCTCGACAGGTATTTCTGTTGACACACACGCAAACACGGATCGAAATAAAAGTATGAGATATCTTTTTCACGTATAATATGATCATTATTAAATAATTAATCGAAGTTACCTGTATACAGCATAAGTATGATAGTCATTAAGGCTCTCAATTCTCTCGTTAAGTTTTATGCTTTTCGAACTTTTGTCGATTGATAGCATAAATAAGGCGATATATGCGTCAAGTGAAAATTGATACATCGGATCGATTAAACTCATATCTGTGAGAACGAAGAAAAGAATCGAAGCTCGTTTAGAACATGGTCGATAACCTTCCCTTGCTGTGTCTATCTCTCGTTCGGTTTCTTCTGACGTCACTAAAGATTCAGCAATGGATATTGACGTAGCCTTAGACGTTTGCAGAGTATTGAGAAGGTTCAGGTCGTCAAGAAGGTTAGGTCCGGCCTCGCTCAAAAGACTACAAAAGGGATATCGCACGTTCCAGTCATCGAGAATTCTAGACATGATTCTCCTAATCGACACTCGGGGAGTGTTTACGAGGGGGATTCGTTTAGGATGAGATTTTTAGAACATTTCGTTATTCAACTTGTTCGTCTCCTATTGATTGTATCAACGATAATAATAGTTCGAGATTTTTTACGCCAAATATTTTTCAAATTATTTTCTTAACTTTTCTCTTTTTTTGTTAAAAATTTATAAGCGAACGAAAATTCATGAATATAAAATACCTTTCCACTATTATTATCATTATTTACACCATTATCCGCGTATCTACTATTGTTATTATATTATTATTGCTAAACCTAGACATTTCCTCAACAAATGGACTCCCTTTATTTCCACCTACACTTCTAATTATCTTTTTCGCTCTTTGAAAACTCTCCAAAAATATCCCACTATTTATCTACTTTTTCTTTCTTTCCAAAATCCATACCAAATAATTTTCAATCCCGGCCTAACTAATATATTATTCCCAATTAATCTATTCTCGATTTTAAAAAAGTTTCTTCAATTACTATTTACTAACTTAACAAAATATAAAAATATACATCTAAACGTACAAAGTTCCTCAGCTATTTATTATATCTGTAGACGAATTCATATTGCGTCCTGTTTACTACTGAATCCGGCACGTAACACGAAAAGAAAAAAGAAACCAAAGTAAAATGAAACTTTTAAAGAGAGAAGAAAAATATAAACAAAAGATCTCTCGTAAAAAAGAAAAGTCTGTAAGGCAAGCTGTAGCATATAAAACAGCAGAGAAAGAGAAAGAGAGAAAGAAATCAGAACAAAATAAGGATTATAAGAAGGCAAGAGAAATATGAGCAAAGGGAATGATAAAAATGTAGAAAAACAATTCGGCGAATGGAAGATCTCACTAGAGAATTCTATCTTCTAGTTCCTTTAACGTCCGTTTGCCGGATGCGATCGTGAGGACGAGGCTGTCCTTTTGTTCTTCAAGTTGCGGCTTCTCTTTCCTGACCACGATTCCCAAGAGTTGTGCCTCTAATCCTGCAAGTGTGGCAAAGGTGTGGTAAGGGAAATGTCCGAGTCGTTGTTCTCACTCACTCATATCAACGAGTCTCTCTCTATCTTTCTCTCTCTCTCTTTCTCTCTCTCCCTTCCTTTAACTCTTCATACACAGCTTTCATGCACACACGCGCACAAGTATTTACTCAGGCTCTCGATCTCTCTATTTCGGTGGTGTACACTAAGATAATTAGTTACCCTGTTCCTTAATGGCGAAGTTGCATAACGTTGTTTTAGTGGATATCTCCGGAGCGTAATGGGGGTTCGAAAGTTTCGTCGTGATGAACAGTCGAAATTTTGCATTGTAAGTGATCATCTTATCGTTAAACTTGATCATCACTTGATCACCTGTGTCGCATATATAAACGCAGGCGTGATTACTTTCACGCATACATATGTATTATATAAACGCTGCATATACACGTATATATCATATATATATATATATATATATATATATATATATAACGAAACGCGTATATATATATTTTCTACATTCCACAGAGAAAAATGAGAACAAAACGTGTGGAGTATTGTTACGGTCGAATTAATTTCTAGCGTGTTGAATGTAACGTGATAGGAAATATCAAATTGCGAATCAATCGTTCGATAGGTAAAACAATAAAGAGTTCGTAGGAGAGAGATAACAATAGCGAGTGAAGTGGAGGGGGGGGGGAGGCTGTTGGGAGGGGGGGCTTTGACGTTTACCTGATTTGATAAAAGCTTTTTCCAGAATCGGATTCAGGACTGGATCGAGAGTTTCCCCAACGTTTTCGAGCAAAACCGGCCAGCCAAACTGGAGCGCTTGTTCCAAAACTTTCATAAAGTCCGCTTGGCCAAAATCGATTACTCGCAGAGACTGCAATAACATTTGGTAAAGCTAGGGCGAAAAGTCACGTCCTTTCAACGAACGGCTGCCTCGTGGTCTTTGTGAACACGCGGTAAAGCGCGAAACTTTTTCTCGAAAAACTCTAAATGGAGAATTAGAGAAAATAGCGAAAGAGAGAAAGTATCTGTCAGTCTGTTCGTCCGTCCGTCTGTCCGTCCGTCCGTTGGTTTGTCAACTCGATACAGAAAGACATTTCGAGGAATAAGAAAGAAGAAAAGGATAAAGGAGAAAATGGAACACGTACATTCTTTGCTTCCATGTTCTTGATCCACTTCATCGCTTGACATTGCGGATCGATTACAAGTGGCCATCTAGTGCCTCTCGTCACGATGATGCCGTTCTCGGTACTAAACCCATCTGAAGGTAATCCTTGAATGTTCCACTCTCTGATCGTCGTGGGATCAGCTAGAAATTCCTTCACGTCGAGTCTAGGCGACATCGGGATTTCCTTCTCGCTTACCTTCGCGCGTTTCAATCATACCCCCGTTGTAATTTGAATAATCTCTGTGTAATTTACTTTGTAACGAACGCGCGAGCTTAAACGTGTTGTGCCGAGTTATAGGAGAATCTTAGTATTAGTTGACTCACCTCTTTCATCCAAATCGTGAATAGTTTCTCTCTGTAATTTGACACGAAAGGTCCCAAATAAGACACGAAAGCCGTGGATATCAGACAATTACCGAGTAACCAATCGAAAAACTCTCCCAACGATTCTACTGTTTCCAACCATCGAATTCTCTCTCCTGATAGACCTTCGACTAACATAGCCGCGCGATCTAATTTCACCCTTAACGAGTCAGCCTGTCAAATAGAAGAATATTATCCGTATAAGATCGAGAGAAGGCGTGTCATGAGAAATAAAATTTAAAAAAATAAAAAAATAAAAAAAAAAAAGATAAGAGATTTCCCGGCTACATCTTTTCACCTATACGAAGCAAATGTAAGAGAGAGAGAAAAAGAGAAGGAGATATAGATAGATAGACAGACATAGATCCAGAGGATTCCCTTGCCATTTTGATTAAATCCTCCTTTTCTTTCATCTTCGCGTCGTACATTTCCTGCAACCTTTCAAGCTCCTTCTGTATCTTTTGCAGTTGCGCCGTAGCCTCCGCTAAAGCAGTTTCCTTTTGCCGCAAAGATTCCAAGGCGGCTTCGAGTTTCTCTCTTTTTGGCGCAACGATCCTAGAGAGAGAATGATTTTATAGTATTACCTCTACGTGAGGTATAGGTCGCTTATTCTTTTCTTTATCTGGTCTATCTAATGTACGTATGAATTTATATATATATATATATATATATATATATGATAGATATAGATAAATAGATATATGAGTATCATCATACCTATAGAGTTTTCCGTATTTTTCCATGGCTATAACCCACATGCAAAGTGATTTGGCGGCTACCGAGACAATACCTACTTTAACAGGATCAAATTCTGGATTTGTCGTATACCTTGTAATTGCTCTCAATACTTTATCCGATATATGATCCTTATCAAAATCGCGAAGCTAAAAATGAAAAGGGATAATATATCGCTTGATCATTGTTCGAAAATGTTATATATCTATGAAAAGAGAGAATTGAGAAACGAATCGGTACAGTGTTAATGAAGTTCACGTCTCCCAATTGACGTTTGGATTCCGCCCAGCTTGGTTCTGCATTCTTAAGAATCATAACCGCTTCCATTACCATCTCAACCTTCGCCGGTGGTCGGGCAAAGGACTTTATTTCTGCCAGATCCCTCTTGTTCAATGCTTCTAAAGCCTGAAAAGATAATTTTACTTTTAGCGCATGCCAGTTTAATAAAATCAGTTCTCGTAGTTCAAATTTCTACGGTTAATATAGGCAACCCATTCAAAAGCATTTCGGAATATGTTTACATAATCTCGGACGATAGCATTTCGATTAGCGGATTCTCATGCATCTATGTATTTTAATCCTTTTCACACACACGTATACTATATGCGTTATACTGGAACGTATCGGGCCTATGCAGTAGAATGCTATTTAACGAATCACTTGTACCGTGAAATTGTACGAGGTATTAAACGAGAGAAGGATACTCGCTTTTATAGCTTCGTTTAGAGCTGGTTCGACAGTGGCCAAATCGGCACGAGCTATCTTTTCGAGCTTCTTGCATTCTTTTTGCTCTTCACCGATTCGAAGGGATCTGGCGGTTACCATTTTTTGTGCCTCATCGGCGTCACGGCGTTGATTAACTTAAAAACAATGTACCATTTGATAAATATCGAGGGTGGAAAAAAACAAAATTGAATTCATCACTCGTTCAGTATTTGATTAATTTTATATAGTTTCCGTTGCGTGTATTTATTACAATAAAAAATCAATCAAATATTACCTATAGTTACCAGGAATTCCTCGCATTCTTTGGTAGATTTTTGAACTTGTTCTTGCGTTACTTCCAACTCGGCGGCCATCTCATTGACTTTCGCCTGAGTATCATCGATCTTGAATACGCCACCGCGAAGTTTATTCGCCTGATTGGCTAATTCCTTTCTTTTTTCAATCAACATTCTGTATGAAATAAAGAAAGCATAGAATTGAAGAGAAATGTTAGATTGTTAATAGTCGGATGTATTATCCAATTTAATCTCACTCTTTGTAACCAATGACTAGTTCAAGAAAGTTCGTAGGCGTGACATAATTATATCGTTTCATTTCGTTCATCATAAGAATGGAAAATTGGGAGACCATACCGTGGATCAAAGCAAACGTTGATGCAATACCATCCCGCATCCGTTCTTGCAACGGTGGAAGCGGAATAGCAGTCGCGGATTGTCTTGGTTCCTGTATTATAATATAACTAATTATTATTATTATTATTAATATATCATTAAGTATGAAACATCCTATTGGTTCCACTTAAAAAACGTACATTTCATACCTTATTACTTAATATAACGTTTCCAATCGTTCGCATATATATTATTTTTCTTTTTTTTCGTATTTAATATTGTAAATAGATGAACAAAAAAAAAACAAAAAAGAAGAAAACAAGGAAGAAACTTAATAAATAAGAAGTAGGAGAGTTTGTGACTATTAATAAGGAAGGTCATAAAGAAGGGGTTCTCGATATCGAAAGCACCCGATAAGAAAACGACGATGGTAGAGAGATGCGACGTGCCAAAGCGTCGTATCGTTCACGAATGAGAGAAACTATAAAGGGGAAAATAATCGGATTTTACGAAATGGTTGCGGAAACTCTCGGTACGGCCGATGAGAAGGAAGAGAAAGCGAGCTACAGTAGATAGGAGAGGGTGAAAGGCAAAGCGGGCAGGGGAGGAGGAAGCGAGGGGCGTCGATTTCCAGAATCGAATCTAGTCGAGCCGAATCGATCGGCTGGAAAAGGAGGAAAGAAGGAAGAAAAGGGATGAGGAGAAAGAGGAAGTAGAGAAGGAAGGAGAAGGTTGTGGAGGAGGAGGAGGAGGAGTGCGGGACGAAACTCGCGAGACCCACCACTTTATTTTCGCCGGTGATAGTGAGCGTCAGATTGAGATTCATGAGGAACTTGTTGCCAACTTCGAGAAGAGCTTCCCTCGGCCATTCCAGAAACCAATCGATGGTCGTGCAATTGATCAGGGATGGGTATTGCCGTAATCTGTTCCTGAAGGCATCCCCGATCGGACTCATGCACAATATCATGTGCATATTGGCGCGAACTCTTTCGATCAGGAAGGAATAGATCGATTCCGTTGACGGGATTATGTTTGCCTTTATAGCGTCTTTCGTTAAACGCATTTTTATCTACAAGTAAGACGATTTATATGAGCATATTGTCTCGAAAACATTTTTTATAATGATATCGTTATATTGAAATTTGAGTGAAGGAATAATCGGTCAGTCATCGGTTAATAAAGATAAATTCATATTCTCTTTGCCATAATAAATTCTTTTTTTAAAAGAGAAAAGAAAGTCCTTTTTAACGATCAGGATTACGTAGTAAAGTACTAGGATTTTACAACGTTTACAGTGATCGCATGGATACTCACGTCTTCCATTTCATCGCTTTTGTAGAGATTGGCTACTTCACCGGTGCTCAGCATATTGTTAACGATCTCAAGAAACTGTTCCTCCGCCACTTGGGTGTCGTTGAAGAGAAAACTAGTCGGCTTGTTTTCAACCCCTGCCATAGAGTAAAGCTTCTTCAAGTCCTCACGGAATTCCATCACTTTGTATTGCTTCGTAACGGATATTTGATAGGTGGTCAGCTCGCACATGTAACCTGCGATACGGGATAACGACTGTCTGCCACTACCACCTATCCCGACCAGCAGCATGTTGCCTCGGGGCTACACAAAACGATTGTCCTTGCATTTCACGAATCGATTAGACGATGAAATACGAATTTAATAATAACAGAAGCTCAAAGACGAATATTATCACTAAATTATTCATTTAGAATAGTTTCTCAGAACGGAAGCGTTTTACAAGATGAAACATTTACTCTTCAGTCTTGTTCGAGCCATTATGAACTTCTGACATTAGAAATTAGCTTAGAAAGCAGACAGTCTTCCTCGGAATTTCCATTTAGTTTCATATTCATCGATCATCGTTGAAAGGAAATCATATGTCTTACAACGTATTTATTAAAGATCTCTCATAATATCATTCTGTGAGTTATACTATCGTTTAACGTACGCTGACACAATATTGTATTAATCATTGCAACCAACAGAATGAAAAATTTTGAATTTGATCAATGAAAATTCTGAATTTATGCATACAATCAAATCTATTTGATTAACAATCAAAGGATTTCTAAGGGTACTTCATGATTCTTTCAACTTTATAGATAAAAAATAAAAGTTTATATAGCATGTCGCATTTGAGAAAATCGTCTACTTTCTTTGGTAAGGAAAAAGAAAAAAAGGTACGCGGCATGGAATGGTCTTGATGCCCGTATTATATCATACCTGGTGCTCACGAATCACTGACCTGAGATATCACACGGACAATGCGGCATATATGCTCGACCGCATCCTGGAAAAGAATGAGATCGAGGCGTACTACACCAGTAGAAGCATTATATTCGTCCATTTGTTCCTCTATATGGCGTCTCACGGCGGCAATATCCACGAGATCCTCGTATATGTTCCAGGCATTCATAAAGTTACCTACGCTCGTGTATTTTCTTTAGACAGTCTTTTTATGGCTTCATCGTTGCGTACGTATTATGACTCTAATTCGGCGTTATGTTAACATATGCCGTGTTCTTTCTTTTTTATCTTTTTTCTCGCGCACGATTAATTTCTTTTTACTGAATTCATTTAACTTGTGCGATTAAGTTAATTTTAAATTATTCCAGAGAGATTGGAATGGTAATGCTTACCGAAAAGAGGAATTTTTTTATCCGGACATACGTTAGCCATTGTCATCTCGAAATATTTACCAAGCTGTTCGCTTATCTGTCCAAGAAACCATTCTGTGTCTCTGAAGAAAAATAAAAAAAAAAGAAATGTACGGTTCGCGATCAAATTACTCAATATTTTTGAAATTTTCGTTTACTTTTTGTCGATGAAACGATCGCAGAAAACACGAAAAGTTTCGTGAAGCCATAAACGTAAAAAGGTCTGAGCCGAATATTGATAATCCTTGTGACTTCGTAACAAACCTTGGAATATCTATTAGAATAAATAAATAGAATCGCGTAAATTTTGTTGTTTTTGATTATTTTTCTAATAATTTTTTGTTATACCGGCAAAAAGATTACCTTAGATATGTCACGCAAATTGAATAGATAATGCATTTTAGTGGGCGTTGGTAACATCTTTAAGACAACGTTGTTATACAAAGTTATAGTAGCAAGCGTTATTCCATCGGCTGAGAAGACAAATCAAATTGAGCTCGTTAGCGCGCGATTAAGAGAATAATATTATAATTTACCAATTCTCTTTACTTCCGCATGAAAGTCAGCGAGTTGTTGATTAAGCATCGTCCCGTATATTCGAACGATTTGTTTCTCGCTGGGAAATGTCATGTTGATGATATTAAATCTCGTTAATAAACGATTTGAAATAACATTACGACCACCACCAGGTGGACCCATGGACGCTATTAATTGCATCCTTTGTATATATTTTTTCTTTTGATTACGTCTATCGTACCTATTGCGAAATATGATCTATAATTAATTGGTCAAATTCGATAAAATGATGAAAATATTCAGTACGGTTATTCGAATTCCGTTGACAAATTCTTGAAAAGTGGATGGGTTTGTGGTTTAAAGAGAAACTACGTTTCATTGCTTTTCTACGAACTCTTTGATTTACCACCTCTCGAAGTCGATAGACGAATAGATCTGCTTCCCTGTGGACTTTCGTGAAACTTTTTGATTTACCAGAATCCATAGTCGATCCACTGACGGATCAGCTCCAATGGTGGTTGTGCTCCGTACGTCTCTTTCATCGGCATGTTAAAGTCATCCATAAAAGTTATCATCGTTTTATTGCCGACGGGAACGTAAACCGCTTTCGTGCGTTTCTCCAGTCTGCTCTCAATGGCTTCCTAGACGTATAGGAAATTCATTGTTGAATGTACCTTTTCATTGTTTCCGACGTCCATGAAAAGTCTTTCGAGGTTCACTGAATAATCATTAAAATTACCTGTACGTTGTTCGATGTTGTTTGAGCGGACATATTTATCACGAGTAGTCCGTACTTAATATTATCCAACGATTCTAAAGCAGATTTTGCAATCGAACTTTTACCAGTGCCTACAGGTCCAACCAATAGAACTGGATAACCGTTGATTAACAAATTGCTCACGATATAATCGTAACGAACAGTGTCTACTGTTGGGACAATTATCTTGTAAAACGGTGTCCTGAGGACGAAAAAACCTCTTACTTTCTTTCTCTCCTCGTTAAAGTAAAAGAAAGAAAAAGATAAAGAGAAATAAAATAAAATAAAATGTTCGATTCGTTGGACGAAAAAGAGATCGTTTGGAGTAGATTTAAAAGCCTTTGTCCTTACCCCGGTTGGAACCTCCAGTTCTGTGATAATTTCTCTTCCCAGGAGACGAAGCTACGCTGACGCACGTCTACGTAATATTCGTAGACAGTATCTCTCAAGGGAAAGGATCCTTCTATTTCTCTCATAAAATTGTCCACCTTTAGACGGCTATCCTCATTAACGGAGGCGCACAATGACCATATTGTKCTGTAATACCGATATAGGAAAATTTATTCCTTCGAATGAATCATATCGTAGTTAAGCGTTCCACGTGTAAACCGATCATCCGTGATCAATGGCGGAGGAGGGATTCGTTCGTAATCCGACGTACGTTTGGCAATTCGAGAGGAAATTGCAATTAATGGTGCAAGAGAAACCAGTAAATCCAAAATGGATAGCATCCAAAAAGCCGAGAAGTATAACGTTATAAGTATAGTTTTCTTATTGCGAATTGTATCGTCGATAAAGAAATGGAAATAGATAAAGAATAATAAAAAGTAAGGTGCAATCTGGGCGAATGCGGAATTTCGTTTAGATGCAAGAGGAATCACGACAAAATTTATGGAAGAAACTGGAATCGGGCGTGAGCAAGGGTAGCAATTGATATTTTAGAGATAGACCAGGTCGGAAAGTACCAGAAAAGAAACCAAATCCTACAAACGGTGGTGAACGCTTCTTCGTCGTTGCCAAGTTCGATTCTGGTTTTGGGTGTGGCGAATACATCTAGGAGCTTACAAAGGGACTGAACGGAATTTAATTCGGGAACTGGCACGAGTTCCTCGCACTTCTGACGCTTAAATTCCAACGTTGGGTCGACAAAACGTTCGAACAGTTCCTTCATCTAAGATAAGTTCATTTAAATGACTTCGATGTAAATTTTTCGTTGGTTTATTCTTCTCGGTTCTTTTTCTTATATTATTATATTATATATTTTTAATCTGAGGAGAGAGTATGTTTCACCTGTTCAACGAAATCAACTTTTTGCTCGTGACTTTGTAACCAGGATTTCACGAGAGGACGCCAACCAAGATCCTTATAATCGTTATAGACCATACCAGCCCTGGAAACGGTGGCAGGAGAGGCTACACCGAGATCTTCAACTTCGAACAACAAGGATACTTGTTCCGGCATCGTGATCCGTTCGTTATTGATCAGTGTCAAGATCTATGAATGTATGTACTACGTATGTATGTATGTATGTATGCATGCATATACGTGCCGAGGAATATTTCATGGTAAGTGAGGTAACTGTGATAATAATTTCGTTTAGAATAAACCGATGGTAGACCTACTTTGTTATCGTCCATGACACTGTTCATGTTCTCGATCCAAACGGCATCGACAGGCCCATCAAAGAGAATCCACTTTTCATCGAGCGATTCACCTGTAAAGATAATAATGGTTCAAGATTCACTTGTGTTTGGAGCTTGTTTTTATAAACAATTTTGAGGATATTTATCAATATTTGTTTGATTATATTTGGTGTTTATCTCATGATCTTTGTTGTGATTTTTATTTTAATAATTAGACAAATGGGATTAATAATATCATGATGATAGCAACGATATAATGTAGAAATCATTTTCTTTGTTAGAAGTTCAATTCGAGAAGAGATAAAAGCATTTTACTGGAGCAGGTCTTCCGCATGATCGACGATATTACTCCATCAAGCCACTCTCCGGTCGAGAGATTGTATTCGCCATAGAGCTCGCTGAGGTTCAGTGCTTTAGGATTAATTGGATAGACATGAACGGCGTTGTAACCCGCTTTTCCATCGTTCTTCATCCCACTTATCGTATTTTGCAATATTCTCCATATGACCGTCTTCGCTGTGTTAGAATCACCGACAATCATCGTAGAATGTCTCGAATTTTTCGTCTCGTAAAGTTGAATCACTTTAGTGATTATCGATGGAATCGGCTGAGAAAAAGGGTAGGAGGTTTGTTTTTTTTCTTATTAAAAATAACGAGAATAATAATAATAAAATCAAATAGGAATAGAGAGAGAAAGAGAGAGATAATATTTTATCATATGTAGAAATTACTTGTAGCTTCAACTTGATAGCCTCTTTAGTAATATAATCGATGATTTCCTCGTAATCTACGGTTGGCACGTCGACGGTTGGAAATAGATCGGTGGTGATTCCAAGGAATAGAGGCAGATCGTCTGACGTAAGTTTAGCCACGTTCATGTCTTTCATTGCAAGAATGATCACCTGCATTTCGATGAGATTTTACTTTATCGGATCGTTCGAAATCATTTCTAAACGACCTCATAAATTATACGAAATGAAAAGGATCGCAAATATATATATATATATATCAGTTAACAACATATTATTGGAATTACTATTTTCTATTATTATTTTTCCTATCTCGTTTACTCGCCTCATCGTCGGCTAAATCCGGATAAAGACGTTTCTTCCAACCGGCGTATCGAGTCAAAGTAACTATACCTCTTAACCCGAAATCATAGTGATGCTGTTTGCTTAATTGTTGTTGCGCTAATGTGTACAAGGTGAAGACCTAGAAAATATTTTTCAAATTACAAAATGTCCAACAACTTTGATAGTGAATTAATTTGAAACGAAGCCCGATCGATAATAACCTTTCGAGCAAGTACACGAGTTTCCTGGAAACCTTCTCCGAATAAATTGATTTCTGCGATCATACTACTGTCCGGTACCATCATAGAGATTGGTCTGAACATGGATTTCAAATTATCCGGAAGTTCGGTGCGACCAGCATACCCGGGATTCATCGTAATGAAGATACCACAGGTATGGATCAATGTTATCTCCTTGCTTTCGAAAACGAATTTCTTGAGTTTCTGAGAGAGTGCTGTTAGTATCGATAGTATCTGTTGTGCCACGACAGACAATACTTCAATATTGATTCTACGATACGAAAGTATAGATCAAAATGATTGCTTAAATTAAAACGATTATTTGAATTTAATTTAAGTTCTTTTATTAACCTGTTAAATTCATCAAAACAACCCCAAGCACCCGTCTGAGCCAAACCCGAAAACATCCTTCCCATACTTTTGTAATCCAGCCCTTCGGAACAATTCTGCACGATCACGTTAAATCCCAATGCCTTTCCGAGATCCTTAACTGTTTCAGTTTTCCCTGTTCCAGCTGGGCCCTTAGGGCTTCCTCCTCGATACAAATGAAGTGCTGTCGTTAGAGTAATGTAACATCTGCCAATGAACAGAGGGAATAGTATTCTAGAAAGCTTACCAGAAAGTAATAAATATAATGGAAAAAAATCAATGAACTGTATCTTATAGTGACGTTGAAGAAACATTCGAGATAAAGCAAAAAAATTAACGAACTGTATTGAAATAATCAAATATAAAAAAGATTTCAAAAAGATGATATTAAGAATATTATCGACGATTGTGCATTAACGAAATTGTAAAAAAATAAAAGATATCTCTTTGAAAATAAGAAAAAAGAAAAACTAGAGGAAAAGTGATGGAAATCAAATTTAAGAATATGAAATGTCTTAAATCGAGCATGCCATACTTTTAAAAAATTCACTCCTTTTTTTTTCTTCCTCTTAGTTTATATATCTACATACTCATCATTCTTTCTTTCTTTCTCTCTCTCTCTCTCTCTCTCTCTCTCTCTATATATATATATATATATATTTCTTTCACTCTCATGTATTTTCTTGAAGAAAGGAGATGCAATAGAATAATGTTGTCTCGATTTATCGAATTTGTATACTCCAGTGCACTTTACGATTTAATCAGTTTAGGAAAAAAAGAAAAAGAAAGGAAAAAAAGAAGAGGAAGAAAAAAAATAAAGGGATTGTGACTGGTGAAGGGAATAAAAGGGCGGAACGATTGCACGGCGTGCCACAAAGAAAAGAATTCGATATAATAACTCGACATTGTGTAGCAATGGCTGCGTTAGTAGTAGTAGTAGTAGTATTAGTAGTATATATTTGTGATAGTAGTGGTGGTGGTGGTGGTGGTGGTGGTGATGTTGGGCGCGTTCTTGGCATCCTTCTTTATCGCGAGACAAATTCTTCTCTATAAGGGAGGAAAAAGAAAGTAAGCGTCGAATCGGCCAGCTCCTGTCTATAAATTAGACACCGGAGTTGCGGGCGGTACCCTTTTATCGCGATTAAATCGATACCGCGTTAAGTATCGTCGTAGATTACGTTTCTGTCTCTTTAGTTTCCTCCTTTGCCGTTCTTCTTCACGCTTTACGTTCTTTTTACTCTTATCCTGTAAACTTTTTTTTATCTTCCTTAAGTCCTCTACACCTATTATCCTTACGATCATTATTAATGTTATCCATTAAATTTATCATTATTATTATTATTATTATTATTATTCGAATATTTTCAAAATTTTATTATTATTTTGTAATAATCATTATCGTCTCTTTTTTATCTTCAAATTTATTCTACTCCCGTCAAATCTTTTCTAATTGATTGAAATTAGTTTTGAAAATAAAAAAAAAGTAATGTTTTATTGTTAGAATTAGAATTCTTAATTGAAGTAATATCTATTTTTTTCTTTATTATATCCCTAAATTGTAATAGCTTTTAAAAATAAGTTAAAGTTACAGCTATAACTTGAATCAATTGATTAATTGATTATTAATTTTTAACATACCGATCAGTTAATGGCGTTATCACGAGACGTCCTGAATTTCCTAGATACTCGTATCCGTATTTAAAGTAAGTATTAGTTTGTCGTACAATGCAATCTTCAATGTCTTTTTCCCAGTAGAACCTTAACTGTGATAACCACTCGAAGGCGGCGACGTCTTTGCAATCTGAAAGAAAACGAAAAGAGCTTTTCGAACGTTTTCGTTTGAGTTACGAGATTTAAACGGTGCTCTTTCTAAGTTGATGTTATTTATAAAAAGTATATTTTACTATTTGCGTGATAACTTGAAATTTTGTTTTATTTTTTCCTTCCTTTTTACTAGTTGTTAATGTTTTTTTTTTTTACTATTTCTTTTTTTCTATAAACTTCATCGTATGAAAGAGCTTTTCACGGTATGTTAACAAACAAGGGCATAAAAAATAAGAGTAATTTCGTATTTGTAAATGGAAAAGGTAAATTTTCTTATGGTCATACAGTCATCGTTAAATTAACCAAGTTTTGTTAGAAATGTTCTTGAAAATTCTCGCACGTTTCAAAAGCGAGAAATGGTTTGAAGTTTTCACACTAAAAAACTTGTTTTCAAATAAGGTGGTTTATTTCGAGTAACGTGAAATAAATGAAATTTCGAAATATATTTCTAATTTAATTTCCTACGTTTAGTTATAATTAAATGATCGTGAAAAAAAAACACATTGCATCTTAAAAATCGACGTCGCCTCGTTTTCAATTACTATTCTTTATTCTTATGTATTTTTTATTAATGTTTTTTTAATATATAATAAAATTAAAAATGAATATATAAAAATAAAAACTTACTGTTCTTGTACATTCGTTCGATAACGTCTCTCGCATGGATCTCGATTACAACAATGGCCTTGAACTTGAGCCGATCCAAATTATTCAAATCGCTTCTTATTGCCTCCGAGTATTTCGCCAACGCCTGATTTTGTTTCCTTTTTAATCGTTTCAAGGGTTTCTTGGAGTCCACCAATCTATTGAATTCCAAATAAATAAATAAATAAATAATAATAAAAATCACAAATCTTTTTATTAAATCTTTCAACATCTAGGGTGTGTGAGGAAAAATCGATTTTTGTAAGAATAGAATGGACAACAGATTCGAGAATTGATCGTAATGGTTAGTGTAACTCACATCTATCCAACATACGTTATTCGCGATTACGGAAGAGTGTATAGAAAAAGATTATGGTAGAAAAAGAAATAAAAATGTCTATCTTTTTCTTCTGCTCTTTCTCTCTCTCACTCACTCTTTCAAAGTTCAACATCGTCAAGACTACGATATTCGCCTAGTGTACGCATTTTTCCTTTACGTTTTACCAACCATCCGTGTGTGTTTCTCAACGATCTCCGGCTGCTCTTTTTCTCCTCACCAAGCTCTTACTCCAGCTTTCTCTCTGCTTTCATGACGAGATGCTTCGAGCAACGACCGGGTACACAGAGCTTCGCGTAACATGAACGTTTACAGCCAAGGTCCCGGGACGTAGGGATTTTACTCCGCCGAAGAGATCAAGAGAGAGAATGGGGAAAAAGAGAGAGAGAGAGAGAGGGAGAGAGAGAGAGAGAGAGAGAGAGAGAGAGAGAGACGATATGGCCGGTAGTGTTGGTATGGGTTAAATTATTCGCAGTACGGCTAGTATATGCAAACGAGAAGAGGAAGGGTGGCATGGTTGGATCGCAGGACGAGAGGTAGAATATGCAAAATTCCTCTTATTAGAGTTACCGTGTCCCTTTCCTCGTTTACCCTCTGCCTATCCCGTTTTCGGTTCCTCCTTTTCTTCCCTTATCCTCCTACTTTCCTTTCCTATCTTCCATCTCTCTTTCTCCTTTCTATGCATTCTTCTACATTTTCACCGGAATCGAACTTTCGAAACTAACTTGGAAAGGCAAAGAACCTGCAACCTTTCGATTTCTCTGGATAACTCCTGTTAAATTTTTACCAATCGAGAAATGCACCTACCATATGTCTATATATATATATATATGTATGTATATATATTCGTGTAGAAAGAGAAAAAGAAGAGAGAGATACATAGGGAACGCTCACTTGCAGTGCATGAGTGTCCTGGTGCAGTCGGTCGTCCACTGGATTTGAGTGGACGTAATTCCTGGTTGGCTCGGCCACTCTTTTACCCACCTGTCGCGTTTTGCGAGCATTTTCCGCAGCACCCCTCTGCATTGCTTCAATAACTCGCGCAAACTCACTCTCATCGCTTCTTCTGCAAATTACGAACGACTTTCCATTGATTTTCGGTTCTTTTAGAGGGGTTTTCTATTTTTTTTTTTTGTATCAACCGATAAAAAAATCGCAATATAAAACGAACGAAATATGTATCGAAATAAAAATATAATTGTTAGTTTAACAATTACTCACCGATATTGCACAACCAGTTTTCTACTTGACCTTCGAGGAGAACTGGATGAACGAATTGAACGTATTCGCCGTCACTGGAATTCATGCCATTGGCTAATGGTTTACCTGCTAATGACTGAGAAACAGATTATAAAGATGATAGAATATAACGTTAGAAAAATTATCGTTTGTGATAATTACATTTGAGACGTCATTTCTAATTGTTTAGCTGAATAATGCAGGTGACGTAATTCTACGTTATTAAATATTAATTGTTAATTGTTAAATATAGATATGTTTATGTTAAATATTTCAATATTATATTCAGCTAAACGTTTCTTTCGAAAAAAAACGCCAGTCGCTGTAATATACCTTGCCTAAAGTGAGAAATTTTATGTTTTCAAAGAGTTTCTTGATGTGAGGCTGTATGAGATCTGGTTTTCTCGAGTTGGCGAGTATCTCAAGTAAATCATCGTTCGAAATGAAGTAGAATCTTGGAAATACGTATCGCTTAGTTTCGAGATATTGTTCCAAAGCGCGTTGCAGAGCCTCCAACTTGTCGTTAAGTTTATTCAGAACTTGGAGTAAATTGGCTGGTGGGAGGAAGGAGCGGGGGTGTACGTTCAGTAGAGTAAGCAAAAAAATGCAAATGCGGTCGTTCTAGTAGATTTACATTATTTTGCAGGCACGTGGACGCCTCGTTGCACGACATTTTCTTCCCTTTATTTTTCTCTTTCTCTCTCTCCCTTTCCCTCTCCCTCTTATTTTCTATCTTTCTTTCACTACCAAGGAAGATAGATATTTTCCTATCCTATCCTGTCCGCGTAGCCGTAACTCGTAATTTGAATAATTTCCTCGCGTTTAAATGATTCTTATCTCCATAAGAAAATTCGTGTAGTCTCGCGTTAGAAAGTGCGGAATATTACAATAGATAAAGTCAATAAAAGCGTTATTTTTCGTACCTTTATTTCGAGACTGCGATCGAAATGAGTTAAAGAAAAAAATCTGTCGGGGTTTAATTCATTTTTTTTTTCTCTCTCTCTCTCTCTCTTTCTTTTTTTTTTCTTCTTTGCACAGAAAGTACACGCGAACAACGTTAACTCTTGGGCGTAGTTGATAAAACTTTTCGATCTCGAGATATATATATATATATATATATATACGTACGCGGAACGTGAGTGGTCGGTAAAGCCAATCCTTGGTCCGCCATGCGGGACGTGATTTGCACCCAGGATCTTGTCAACTTGCCGAACTCGTCGGTCTCTTTTGGAAGTTGTTTTCTAATGTCCTCGCTGGAGAATATATTGTCCATATAGAAGTAGCTTCTTTGAACGCTGAGCACCATTTCGAGAACCTCCCCCACCGTAGACAGGGCCCGTTCCCAATAATCGACATCTACTACGAATGGCTCGACAAATCTATGAACGGACGAATAAATAATATCCTACTAACGTGATCAAAATATTTTATAAATATAGATACCTCATCGATTTCATCGAAGACAAGAGAACTTGATGATCTTCTAGTGTTTGTAATATGTCGTCTATGCTCATTAATTTGTAAATACCTTTAGTCTTGTACGGTATCATCTCTACTGGCATTACGTTCCAAACTTCAGCGATACGTTTCAATCCCTACGAAAATATCGTATATTTTTTGTTTTTCAAATTTAATCGAACTATAATCTAAATATTAGCTTATATAATAATCATTAGAGTAAGAATAATGCAAAGTACATTTGTTTAAAAATTAATATACTGCGATTATTAAATAATTTCGATCTGATATTTTATTATTGTGTGTTTTGTTTTACTACTTTCTCTTCATATCTCTATGTTCCCTCTCTTTTTCATGTCGTTTCACAAAGTTTTATCGTTATCGTCGCTTAAAAAGTTTCACTTCAAAAATACTTTCTCATGGATTTTACTTTGATGTTGAAAAAATAACTGACTTATGCATTATACAAACGAATAACAGTAATATAATTGAATCGAATTCTTTCTCAATATTTATAATTACTTTAAATCATTAATATAAGTTTGAAATTTAATGTTTAATGTTATTGAATTCAGTATTAATGAGTTTACAATTTATATATCGCGGGACCTATCACAAGTGGTTTTACCAATTTATATTTTTAATATCTCTGAAATTTATTTCTATGATTTATTTGAAATTTTATCGATATCATTATGCCGTCATAAATTAAAATTTAAATTAACATTCGATCCAATTCGCGAGAGATTGTGACACCGGAGAATTTTTGAACAAATCTTTTCTGAAACCAAAGACTCACCATTTCTATTTCAAGTTCCATCGTTGCAGCGTTCGAGATCTCGGCGATTTGTTCGGCAAAATTCTGCATTTGCATATTGGCAATAACGTCAAGGGTAAAATCTTCGGACATTTCGTCGAATTCTCTTTTTACGGTATCTTTAACTTTCCTCCAGTGACGAGATCTCATTGCTGGATTCTTCAAATCTGTTATTAGTGGTAACGTTCGACGAAATTTATCCACTCTTGATCTGTGTTACAAAATATTTGATAAAAGTAAATGAGAAAATGTAACGTTAAAAAAGCACTTAAATTTAGTATTGCTCGGATTGAAATTTGTAGTTAATTATTCGGTATTTGTGCTTGTCAATTTGAACTCACACATTCGTGATAACGTGTGATCATAATTTCGACACGGAATGAAGCGCTTCTCTCTCTCTACATGCTACAATCATTGAGAATTAGCGTCAATTGCGTGTCTCTGTTTGCTTTTCATTTGCTTTTCAGAGTTGAGCACGCTATACTTGTTTCGCCCATTTATGTTCTCACCGATGTACATATATACAGTTCTCGGGTTACAAAACACGACGAATCATTTCGGATGTGTAAAGTTCATTATGCGATAAAAGTGTTCATGATCGGTTAATAAATAATAAAAAATAATTTTCTAAATATCACATTCGATAGTTAAGATGAATACAAATATAGTAAATTTCTGCATAATGCTATTAATATGTTAAGCGTTTCATTAAGCGTTTTCCTCGTATAATAAGATTTATTTCTTATTTTCTTCAAGATAATTTATAATTTATTCATTTCTCTTTTTTGCTAACTATTCTTGATAACATGATTAAAAATTAAAATAAAATTAAAGCAAATTTAATTTTTAAATACGAGGAATTTTCACACATTTTATTATTAACCACGGCATACGAAGAATCGTGTTATATGGAAATAGTGGTTGCAATATTTTTGACTAGCTATAAAAATTCATGTTATAGAAATTCACGTCATACAAAAGTATACTCATTTTTCTTCTCTCAAAACGAATAAAATATGTTTTATAGGAAATTTTTAAAAGAAGAATATCGTCAATATTTTGAAGTGAAGTCTCGTTATACCAAATCACAGTTTTCTTTTTGGTCCGTGACCCGTATTAGAATAAGCTAGTGAACAAGTTCGCTACAGTACTGGAAGAAGAAGAGTTAAGTAGGAACTAGAAAGAGATCCTCGACGTACCTCGTGTGCTCAACGATCTCCCAGTTTCTCTCCTTAAGCTCTCTGTAGAGTCTCGTGAGTTTTCGAAATAGAACGTTCGCAGTTGTGTCCATCTCTTCCATTTCTATCTTCCAAAATTGTTCGGTCTTATAACGATTCCATGCTTCGTTCCACTCGGCAGTCAGTTTCCATACGATCTCGATGATTGCTGTGTCCTGCGAAAAAGTTTAATGAAACGCGATAACGGTTCACGATAATTTTATTGAATTCAACTGAGTTCCCCAAGTCGTACTTCCTTAAGTTTTATCAATTCCAAAGAATCGGGTTGACTCAAGCCAAAAACTGTGAGGTGTGCTTTAAGCATTTTCTCTCGTTCCTTCAATGAGTGTATTTCTTTATAAAATACATTAATCCACGTAAATGCATCTGTGTAAAATCAAAATATGCTTGTAAATCTGAATAAATATTCAATAAAATAGAAAAATAATTACTATATATACCATTTATTTGCCATTCGGACGTAAACGGTCCTGTATCGTTATATTTGCGAACTAAAGTCATTATATCTTCATGGAACATAGTAGAATCTTTAAGCAAAGCGTTCTTGAATTCCTCCTGTAATGGATTCGTTAAGTTAAGAAGACTCTTTTATCTATTCTTTGTTTCTTTTTCCCTTTACCTTAGCACTTTCTAGTCTTATACCAAGAGAAAAAAGGCGAGAGGAAGAAAGTAGAATTTTATTTCAAAAAGGGCCTGGAGCAACGTACCCGAACGAATCACGTACCTTCTTTTCGAGTAAAATTGCTTCGTAGGAAACAAGTAGCTCCAAATAGGCAGCCCACGATCGGTCGATGTCTTTTACTTTTCTTTTAAATTCAAACGTAGTCGGTATATCGTATTTTTCTATGATTAAAATCACGTATTGTTAATTTATGTCGATCGATTATCGAATTATATTACGATTTCTCGAAGTAAAAAAAAGAGACGATTTTAAATATAGAAATTAATTTGAAAGTTTATCGTTTACAACTTTTTTTATATTAAATTACGTGGAAATTCTTATCGAGAAACAGAGAAAGAGAGAGAGAGAGAAAGAGAAAGAATCATATTATTGATCCTTTTACTTTCCACGTAAAGGAGGAAACATTTAAAGATTTACCCAACGTTTCGTAGAACTCTACGATCTTAGGAAATTCTGCCTCCTCCTTTGGAATCTCAGCGTTAAGTCTCTCGAACAACTGTATTGCGAATTGCATACTGATCAAATCCGTTGGTTCCTTCGTTATTCTGTGAACGGTTAAATTTATATGCAAGCGTTCTTTGGATTGAAAAAAGAATAAAACAAAAAATAGTAGCAAAAAAAAAAGAAAAAGGAACATTTCGAACGATCGAGCAAGTCATGCCATCACTCGCGTAACATGTGGTTTGGATCGTTAAAATTTTATGTTTATGGACCATGGAAATCCATAAAATATGGAATATTTACCACGTGCGTTATCGACCTAAGCATCACGCTACATTTAATATTTTCTTGTGAATAATACTTTTAAATGGCCATTGTGTAGTTAATGTTTCTTAAATAAAAGTTGCTTACTTTTTCGAATTTTCAGCGATATATTGATAGACGTGTTTGACTTTGTTTTCGGTTACTTGTAACATGAGTGTGCTTAATTTCAGTTGCCAAGCAGCGCATTCTTGAATAATAATGTCTTTTAAACCATCGCAATTTATATCGAGAAAATGTACGTTCATCACGGTCTCTTGCATCTCGACAGTGTATGCAACGTTCGCGTATCTGCTAATGTCCGAATCGAAAGATGTAACCGTTGGCTTCAGTTTCTCGTATCTGTATAACAATAGAGGAAAATTAATATATGTATAATATTTATATGCACAACGTGTTGCGTACAATAGAATTTTACGATTATAAATAGATATGTCAGAACAACGAAGTAAAAAGAAAATCACCTTTGAATGAAAATGTCCTTATTGACCTCCCATATGTCCTTAAAAGGTTCCCACGTTTTAAGATACGCTTGTACTTGAGAGAAACAATAATTCGTCTCTGTCAATTAATTCGAAATTTGTATTATTTAAAGCACATATATATACAAAATGTTCCCAGAGATCAGGACGAAACTTATATTACGTATTAATGAGATCAATTAGATTAAGAAAGTTCACATAAACTTATGCATGAAAATATATTTCAATTTTATTTAATTTTTGTTGTATATAATAAACTCTTATTACTCTTTAGTAAATCACTATAGTGAGTATAAGTTTATAAGAACTTTTTTTCATTATTTGAATTCATTAATATGTCATATAAGTTTGGTCTTAATTTTGTTGGGACATCTTGTATCAGAAAAAAAAAGTAAAGAAAACAAAAGACAATATTAATACCATTGTTAAGCAATTGTTGATAACGAATAAGATCTTCGTCCTTTTCATAGACCTTCCAAAGAGGTTGTATTTCTTTAGATGAGGAAACCTTGAATTTTTCAATTAATCGTTGGAAGTTTTTAATCGGTGTAAATAGGTGATTGAGAACGTTGGACAGGGTCGTGGCAATATCCGACAGGTTTGGTGAGAAGTTTATCTGAACACGGGGACACGAACGTGTTAGCTTTCAAGTGTTCTTGGTCGAAGGTCGCTTCCCTTCCCTCCAGTATCGTGATTCTCTTGAATCTCCGAGGTGGTAAGCCGAAGGGTTAGCAACGTTGGACGTTCGAACAATGTCTACGAAGGGACACAATTATGGCTCTCTCTGTTGTTACCTTATTGTTGAGCAAGTCCACTTGCACCAGTAGAAGAGGAGATGGTCCTGTCGTCCCGTCTCCGTGAAGGGCTTCATACATAATATCCATGGAACCCTTAAGGCAGAATCTCAGTGCTTCCTCAATCAGTACATCTAGATTGTCCAAATATTCCTGCCACTGCTTTAAAGTCTAAAATGAACAAACTTTTTTAAATTAACGTATCGTATGAAGTTATAATACTACTTATATCAATATTTCCTCAATCAGTATATCGAGATTGCTCCAATATTATTGGTACTGCGTTCAAGTTTAAGTGAAAATTTAAAGTTAATAAATCAATGCGAATATATATACTATTGGATATACCCCGGAAAGTTAGTTTAAATTATATTTTTAAATATATATATATGTGTTGCCTGAAAATAGTACTTAAAAATTTGTACGAATTACGCTCCTCTGGACAGTTTAATATTTTTAAATATATATTATCTTTTCGTTTTTTTTTTAACAATGCAATACTTATACGCACTCGCATTCCATAGAATCTATGTAATATTGTGAGCTTAACTTGAATAGTTCATATTTAAAAAAGGAAATACAAAATTGATGAACGCGGTTGAATGAGAGACTCTTTATATGTATATGTATATATATATATATATAAAAATGAAATCTATGGCTTGGATTCGAGTTATATGAAAGAGGATAATTCATTTTGGTCGTTGTAATCTGAAAAACGGATTTATTCGATGGATTCGGTTGGAGAACTGAGGGGAAAAAAAATTAATACGCTTTTTGGCTTGCATTAAAGGGGAACTAAAGGTTCGATTTTACAAAAATTCTCTTTTTATTTCTCGCGGTGATATATCAAAAAATGTTAAGAACATAGATAGACGTGTTTTTGTGTTTATTCTTTAAATAACATTGAAAAATGATAACGTCACATTTTTTCGAATTAACTGAATGTGCATGCGAGCGTGAAGACATTTACGTTGTTGCAAGGGATGAATTGTAACTGGATCTGTGACATTAATGTAATGACTTACTTTTTTCTCAACTATAGAATCATTTTATCAATCTATAATAAAATTTTGTTATACTTCTATATTCATTAACGACAATCATACAAAGAAAGAATTTGATTCAATTTTTTCAAAAATAGAACTGAAATAATTACTAAAGCGACTACGCAAATCACTAGGAGCTTTCTTCAAAAAGTTCACATTGGAAATAATTAAGGAAGATTATTTTCTATTAGTTAAAAATATAATAATAATAAAACACAAGAAAAAATTCCAAACCATGACTTGTTTTAGTAGAAACAATAAAATAGATGAAAATATTTTAAGTTTTGTATCGGTTGACCAAAATGAGACTCTATAAGAGTAATAATTACTCTTAATTTATATAAAATAGTTACTGTTATATAATTATGAATATTTATAATTATTATATAGTTATAATTATTATAGTAATACTTGGTTATGTTATTACGTAAAATAACTTAAATAATCGAGCAATTATATGGTAGTTTGTTATTCAATGGAATTGAGTATAGTATAAATATAATGTAATATATATATATATATATATATATAGGTGTACGATTATGGCACGGAACGTAAAAATAACTTGAAAGTTTAATCTCCGGAGTAAACGCATCAAGCGTCTATGCGAGAGGATCGTATTACGACTGCCTCGTCGATTTCAACGTTTCTCTTTACGGATCTCGTGCTCCTCGTCTCTCTTTTCGTCGAGACGACAATAAAAGTCTTCGTAAGTAGTCGAGAGGTAATCCTAGGAAAGTCCCGCGAGTGCATAAAATCATAAGAAGCGAATTTCAGATCTTTAAGCACTATTACGGTGTCTTAGCGAGCTTTACGAGCGCATAAATTTATAAAGTATCTTTTCGAAATTCTTCAAGGATTGTATATATATACATAAAGAATATATATATATATATATATATATATTGTTTCGCTTTCTTGATACTTAAAGTCTTTTTAAACGAGAGACGATTTTATCGTTTTTTTTTTTTTTTACCTTACTTGATATTTTTAATTTAACATATTGTAGACACATTATGCTGCTTTTACTATTAAAATGTATGTGCTGCCATATATATATATTTAAGCGTCTACATTCTTGTATAACTTTGAGATTATTATACATACACATGATATATGATATTTGTTACTGTTTAACACGTTGATCCTTTATATTATATCAGGGTGAACCAAAAGTTCCTGCGTTTATTGTGTTATTTCAAATAGTGCAATTTTTTAAAGTCAATAAAATTACTTTATATACAAGTGAAATATTAATAAAAAGAAAAACGCACGAACTTTTGTTTTACCCTTAATATTATAATACGTAGACATTTATAAAAATAATTAAGTAAATAAAAATAAATAAATATGTGAAATTTATAAATTCATCTAAACAGATTGGAATTCAATTATATTGTATTACTTTGGCAATATGTTATAGTAATCGTAAATAAAAAAGTATTGATTATAAAAAAAAACTTAACTCTCGGATTACTCCTTTGAATCCCTCGAAGACTACCATGACATATTGAACTATCGTGTTGTACTTTGTAACCATATCGGCAACAACCGCATCTCTGAAAAGTTAGGGAGAGTTTCAAAGTTCCATAGTTCCATGCTTCAAAATTGTATGGCTCACCTCACGCTTGTTAGTTCCTCCTGCAGTTCTGACAAGGTGTACGCATAATTTGGTTTTAACTTGATCATCGGCGAATTGCAAATATTCTCACATATTTTAAGGATCTCAAAATTGGATTTCTTATAAATATCGACGAATCGTTTAAGCTGAAAATAATTCTTTCTTTCGTATCCAGGTTTTATTTTTTCAAGTGTACTTAACTTTCGAATTAGATTAGTTTATTCTATCTATTATTATAATTATACTTCGTTAGATTTACATACAGATACCAATTAACTTCCTAATGGACGATGAGATAAATAAAGTTTCTAACAACTTTAGAGATGGAATTTTGTCGATGTCATAGTAAATGAAATGAAATCAAGATTGAGATATACTTATAGCACTATACTTAGCACTTATAAGTTAACATTATTGAAATCGTTTGAAACATACTTTAGCGGTCTTGTTGTAGCAATCCTCGACAAAATTTTCGACGTTGTCCGTATTCCACGTTAGTCTACTTAAGCCAGGATTGATCTTTCCGTCGAGTCGTAGGATTAATCCTCGAAACAGTTCACGTTCCATGTCGGACAATGCTAAAAAATGAAAGTCTCGTTTATCATTTCGTACGTGGAAATCGTTTGGAATAAAAGATATTGCAACTAAGCATCTATAGTTCGTCTTATCTTCATCGAAATTTTCTTTCTATTCTCAACGATCAATCTTTGATAGATCAAAATAGATAGTTGTTTACAAGGATAATTTAGGTACTTTGTTTTTTTTTTTTTTATAGAAGATGAATTAATTTTACAAAAGAGAGATTAATTCGAAATATAAATAATTCATAAACGTGAAAAAACGAGTTTTAACCCATAATCAAAATATTATTTTTCTTTAAATAATTAAACATTCGTTGCTCATTTCCATCAAAAAAATATTATAAATATATACCATTCGACTTTTGCGGTTCATTGATTTATTCGAACCTTCCTATCCTCGTTTGTATCAATTTATTTTTAATTAAAATAAATTTTATTTATGCACATTAATGTCAACTGTTTGCCCACGTTGAATTACTAGTTCACGTCAAAAATAAAAACCGTGTTGACCATACAGGTTCTTTGGTAGAATTGAATAAGTATGAGAAGGTATTTGTAAAGAAACGACTCGAACCCGTAAAAGTAAAAGTAAAAATAAAAAGATACACATATATGCACATTAATCAATCAACAATTTTCCCGGTTGAGGAATTATTGTAATTATCAAATAAAAGAATTATGAATGATTAACCGACCTTCGATGATTGTATTGTAAGTGTAAATCAATGCGAGGACACCTTCGTAAACGAAAAAAATGGTATCCTTTTTGGCGTGTATGACAGTCATTTGAATTGGTATGTCGAATAGAAGATTAATCCAACTATCGCATTCTCGACAAAGATCTAATATAAAAGGGTCCATATTACATTCGAATAATAAAGGTGATTTTTCCATTCGCTTTATCAAGGATCGATCTAAACGAGTGCGTGGATTTTCACCAGCTGCTTCGATCCATTCACTATAGAGATTGGTTATAGCATCTTTGATTGATTTTATCACGATATCATGCTGATAGAAGACCTCGAATTTCATAGCACAGTAGGGCAACCATTCAGCTTCTTCCATCATTTTTTTCGTTGCTTGCAAGCTATTAGCTTTTTGCTCTAGAGCCAATGCTCTTCCGGAATAATATGACGTCATCGATGAGTATTCTTCTTTTTTATCTAAGACATCTTGCTTTGCGTGTTGAATATCATCGTTAAACATTTTCCATACCTGAAAAAAGATTATTAAAGTTTTTATTAAAATTAATCTAAAGCATATTGGCTATTTATACAGATGGGTCTGTTATGAAGATAGATATTAAAAGATTACAATTTAAATGAGTTCAAACTAACGTGAAATCGAGAGTAAATTAAATATATATATTATATTAGGTACACACACATATATATATATATATATNAGACGAAAGCTGAATATACACATATGTCTGGCTGGTGCAAACGTTTATATGTATGCGTATATATTATATATATATATATATATATTTTATGAAAATATAAAATGTGTCATTTATAAGCTAATATTAAATTATTATTAAAACATTTAGTACCAATCTCAGTGGTTGAACTAATGAATAACAATGAATTAAAACCAATTAATAATGATATATAATTGCTAATTCATTTATATACATATATATGTATGTTACTGGAGAGAGGGAATCCCACATATATTACATTTCTGAGTTGTTTTATAGCTACGTTTATTAGTTTTCGAAATTCCAATTGCAATGTTTAACTTAGAGAATCTTGTTTCGAAGTTCGAGTTCGCTCTGGAAACTCGCTTACCTCCATAGTCTTATTATTGAAGAGCTCCTGTAGTTTCTCTCTGTTCATATAATTGTAAAATCCACGGAGATTCTCGATACCTTCTTGCACGTTGTTCATGACGACGAAGACGGTTGCTACCAAGTTTTCGATTATTATCTCCAATTCTCTGACTTCGCCGCGAAAGATAGACATAATGTTCTTCCAAGCGACGTGCAACACGTCGAATATTTTATGAGAGTTTGCTTCGATTTTCTCGAAACTTTCGAAGAAGAGTCTCTCAATTTTTTGACAGGCTCTACCATGTTCCTTTCCTTTGGTTCCAGGAAACGTCGGTCTTAGGATGCTCGTTCTTTCGTCCATTCTATAAAATAATCGAAAAATACTATCTTTTGTTTTCTCTTATAGATTTTATAGCGAATCGTGGGAAATATATTCAAAACATTTCAATTCAAATAAAAATTGTTTTCAATATATATTTAAACAGATTGAACAATTTTTCCTAAAATTCTTAATTATTTCATATAATATTTTTTAGTTATTTCATGAAAATTAAATGAAACATACACTTTAACGGTAACACACACACACACATATATATATATATATATATGTTTACATAAACCAAAATAGATATTCAAATGTATCTATTAAAAATGTAAACTTAAAGATTTTTAATAAATGTCCGAATATTTATACCTGGCAAAATCTATCATCCCTTCGCAGATGACTATCATGTCTTGGCATCTTTCGATAAAAACGTTTATATGACGAAAAATGTAATCGGCTTCTAATTCCCATGGATGTTCGGTACAAGTAATATGGGCATCTGAAATCTGTCAAATAATTATGTTATTGTTTTATCGAGTAATAAAATTACAAAGAGATCCTATGGAGAGTCAAAGATTTTACTTTTATTTCGCTCAAATTGCGAACGTAACTTAAAATTTATTTACTTTTTTATTAGTTTCTAACATTTTATTATAATTGCGGCGTAAATATCATCCGTAGGTTTGTCACCATAAAATTAACTTTTACAGTAGTCGTCTACCTTACTTATACCTATATAGTTTCTTAAGGAAACTCGGAAAATAGCGACGTATTACTCGGCATAGGAGAATTTCATTCGTGCTTATCGTGTTACGCGAAAAGGGAAAGCCTAAGTCGGCGTTATTGCACCTTTCGGTTTACGCGAAAACTTATACCTACGTTGTCTAAACTACTTCTATGTTCTCAAAGAAAAGTTAAACGGGTATATAGGGGTTTTCACTGTTCACAACTCTTCAAGATTAACTTACACGTTATTTGAAATTTTCACGCGCGCGAATTTTGATTATTTTTTTTTTTTTTTGATTGAATAGCGATTTTAATAAGATTTGATTTTTTTCGTTTTATCGAATGTGATACTTATAAATTGTACTGCGACAAATATTGACTTACGTTTACTGACAAATAATTCGTCCAAAATACGTTATACGAATAAAAAGCAATTAATGTTATTGTTATAAATAAATCTCAATTGTGTAGAATAAATGTTGAATGTATAAAAAATCTCTTTCCAGTAGATTAACGTTAATACATTTATTTAATAATACGCTCCAATTTAATATATTTTTCTCTATGATATTCTCATACTTTAACAATAATTTCAATGACATGAAATGCAATAAGCTCTTAATGCATTTACCTATGGCTCTACTGAATTATATGACACAATAAGCTTTACAATAAGCTTTGAATGTATTTATCCATGGTATATTTATGATGCGATTTTAAACGCGCAGTTTTAATATAAAATAATTTTCATTAATACCAAAATCAATTTTGCTTTCGAAGATCATGAATAAGTTTTCATTTTTTCATATTATTCCTACTCATATTATTTTTATGCAGTAGATATAAATGCAGTAGATTGGTTATGAAAATATTTGAACACATTTTTAAATTGACAGGCTTTCGCGTATACTGATCAATGAACAAAAATAAAAAACCATGTTTTTAAATTCCTTCTTTACTTTACATAGCATATTAATATTTTTCTCTGTATGTACTCAAAAATTCCGAACACTCTGATCAATATAAAACACATTATTCGACTTCAAAAAATTCCATATTTTTGTAATCTATTGTAATTGCCAAAGCATACTATTTCTGCATTCAGAGAAAGAGAAATGGATATTTCGAGATTTATTACAATCTCGCTTTATAACGAATGTAAATTTTGTACGAAACTTTTGTAGAAGCAATTTAATATTGGTTTTCTTTTTGTTTTCAAATATTTTAGTTTTTAAAAATAACAGATATTTCTAAAAAAAAAAAAAAATAAAAATCAAATCAAATGAACAACGCAGTTAAATTAAATTTCAATATAATTCAATTACGCGTGGCTGGATTTTTATCGATTTACCGATTAAAAGAATATGTATAAATGTAATTACTTGAAAATAATGTTTCTTATAATCTTCGCAAGCACGAATACAATCGGTGAACATTTCGATACTGGCACGAGTTTTTCCTTTGAATACTTGCTGAAGATCGATAAAGTTCCCACAAATTATAATGATCTGATTGCTTAATGCGCTAAACAGATTTGCCATTTTCTCGGTGGTGTTATAAAAGGGCGAGTTTAACCAAATCGTTCTACAGAGATGTATAATTTTTGGCAGAATCGGAACTAACCCACCTGGTCTCGTACATTGCTTTAATTCCTCACAAGATTCCCTTAGAAGTGTCAAATACTCAATGTTCGATTTTGCTTCGAGCATTTTCTGTTGTATTTCTTCTCGTAGCGTCAAAAATTGACGCACGTAAGTTGACTGAGTTTCCAATAATACATTTACGATACGATCAACCGTAGACTTCTGAAGTTGGTAATTTAATCCACAGAGATTATCATCTGAGAACGAAGTAAAGAAACAATTTTCTTATATCAACAACAAAAATAATAATAATAATAATAATTTGAATCGTGTCGATCGTTAAACCGAATAATTTGAAGAAAGTAACAGGAATTTGACTTACATCTGTAGATCCAAAATTCGTATTCGTCATCAAGGGAGAGAAGCTCGTGCAGGTCGGTTTCTTCCTCATCGATAAGGGTCAATTTGATTTGAGTGGTCCAGTAAGTCACCACAGTTTCGAACCGTTTGATCAACTCCTTATCAGCGCTGGCTTTTTCGACAGTGAGATCTTTATTGAAGGTTGGTACATATATCACAGTTAAGCCCAGCATTTTGTACGTGAGATCGGTCAAGTTGTGTAGAAAAGCGTCCATATTCGTGTGAAAGTCCATCCTCACGCATGTGTTTCAGTGGGCCATTAGTTAAGGAAGATAAATAAACTTCGGAAGCAAGGTCGAATTAAGGTAGGGGTAACATTTAATTGTCTTTATCGACACTTCCATATATATTAGGATGTTCTTAATTCCAATAGAAATCTTTCTATTACTATAATATCGTGATACATATAAAAATATTCGGCTATATTTTTTTGTTTTTAAAACCGAACCAAATCTTACTTTTCAAAAGATCACAAAAGGAAAGCGACTATTGAAAATATGTCGTTAAAATAGAAACGTCATCGGTGATATAATCAAACGTAAATTAAAATTTCGAAAAAAAAAACCAGTTAGAAATGAAAAGTTTGTACAAATCCAGAAAATTCTCGTACCAGAAGTGAGTCACATGGAAGAGTTAAAAAAGAGGGATACGATGAACCGTGGAAATTCGATCAAATCCGCTACTTCAGAATCCATTAGAAATAACGAAGTGGATTTCGTTCGAATGCAACGCAATCGTTTCGTATTCGGCGACTGAGTAATTTCGTTCACGTACGTGAGCAAACATCGACGTTGAATTTACCGGCGCCGAGTTGGGCAGTGCATTTAGCCGAAAATTATGGTAATAATAACTTCGCTTGGTATGCTCTTTCTGTCTTTTCTTTGTGTGTGTGTGTGTGTGTGTCTCTTTCCCTAGTCGTCCCCATCGAGGAGAAAATCGAGCTGCTGTTACTATAACGTTCGGTGTGCGCAGGAACGTAGAGGAGTTCAGCACGTGGATGGAGTCGTCGGCAGAACTCGTGGGCTTTCGAAAACTTTGCTCGCGCGTTTTAGTAACGGGATTGCGAGTGAAGTTACAAATTCACTTGGTAATGTCATCACGTCAGATTGTTATGACCTTAAGCCGAAGCGAATGTGCGGTCCGCGTATCCACGTGATCGCCCTTGGCATCGTGCTAGGCTAATCTAGAGAAACTACCGCAACTACTTCCATCCGCCCGCGTTTCCTTGCTTGCTTGCTTGCCCGTTCGTTCCTACCGTTTCGGACTGACCGAAACTGCCTGGAAGTTAACGATTAGGACCTTTCCTCTCTTCTATATCTCTTCCTTAACATATTAAATTTTCTCTCTTTTCTTTTTTTCTCCCTTTTATCATTTTACGATAATATATCCTCTATACATTTATCTACTACCTATTTTAGGTTAGTTAAATCCCCAATTCTCTCTCTTATGATTAATATTATTTTTCATTTAATTATATATAACATTGAAGGCACATGCAAGAATAAGAGTGCTTAGATAAAAAAGAATAGGGAAGATCATTTACGAGGTAGAAGTTAAATTTGATTCTACCTCGGAGATGAAGATATTCTCGCTTATCGGAAGGATCGGCATTCTGGCTTCGAGCATTTAATTAAACTTTCGCCTGGCACGTGTCGTTCCTTGAAGGATCGTAAAACTTTCCTATGCCTAATATTTCTTACTTTCTTTTTTCTCTTTTTATTTTTCTTTGTTTTACTACCTTGCTATATACCCGTTCGTATATCGAATGTTTTGCAGTGTTACTTTTGCCATATTTCGATATTTCGACACAAAGATTTTCCAAATCACCCGGTGAGTTTAATTGCCAAAGAGGAAGGATTTTTTCAAAGTTAATCCGAAAAAGGAAAAATAAAATATACGAGTGGATAAAAATAAAAGGGTTATAAAGGATACTGTCGGGCCAGGAGTCTATCTTAAAGAATATTGGCGCCAGAGCATTTTGAATAACTCCGAGAATGTAAGCTTCGACGTTACCATTGAACGAGCCAAACGCAACGCTGTCGTGGAAATTCTCCAAGCGAAATATCTCGTTAGGTTTCCGTAAGAAGTAACAAAGCTCGTGTACCGGTGTTGACGGGAAATACAGTAAGGCCGTTGGTACGTTCCTTTTATCCTCGTAGTATATGCAGAGCACGAGATGCTTTGGGCTTTCAAAGAACTCTTGAATAATCAGATGACACTGATACGTCCAATCCTTCTTCGACAATCCACTCAGTGTCGTCATATCTTTTACGCAGTATACCTTAGCCAACAACGAAAATTCGTCTAGGGTGAGGATGATTTGTATTCGAGAAACGTAGACTATTTAAGATTCTCCGAGGATTAAGAACTTTTCTCTTCAAAAACTGTGATCTTACTTTTTTTTTCTCTCTCTCTCTCTTTCTTTCTCTTTTCTTTCTCTTCGAACGTTATAAGAAAATTGTGTGAAAGAAAGAAAAAGAAAGAAGAAGACAGATAGATAGATAGATAGATAGATAGATGGATAAATTAAAAAAGCGGAACGAACGAACGTGTTTAATGAAAATGCAATTAAAACGATATTGAAAGATCGTTAAGATCGGTTACTTTCTAATAAGAAATTGGATAAAAGTTTTTAACTGTCTTTTTATACGAATGATCTAGCCCTTAATGATTTTATTCGACGCGAGTTATCTCTCCCCGACGTTAAGATTTTTCTATATTCTTACTCGTTTGTAACGCGGAACGACACGTTCTTTTTCTTTTATCATCTTTCTCAATTCCTTTTCTCAAAGTAGTATAAGGCACTCACCAATTCATTCAATTCCTCCCTCGTATAGTCCGCTCTTAATTCTTCCTCGACCTCCTTTCCTTCGTCTCCTTCTGCAATTAATTTAACTTTCAATTCATCTAGATCCTAAATCACGAGAAACGGAGGTCATAAAATCGTCGGGAAGTTTAATTGAGAAATTTAAAGATTCTGCTCTGCTGTTCGCTAGCTAGCCTAGCCTAGCATAGCCTAGCTAGCTAGCTAGGAAAGACGCGAAGATTCTTTGTAAAGAGAGAAAAAGACGGAAGGGTAAGGGTTTCGTAAATAAAAAGGACAGCTTCAGCGGAGAAGGGAAACAAATTCTACGAACGCACGGATCGTTCGTTAGTCGTCGATTGGAAAGGCGCCTGCTGCGATGGGCCCTCCTAAATCGAAGAGGAGAGTTAAATCGAAGGCATTCGTTCTAGGAATCTCTCTTTCTTTCTTTCTTTCTTTCTTTCTTCATTTTATTCTTTTTCTTTTCTCGATACCGATATCATTCTCTCTCTCTCCCTCCCTCTTTCTTTCTTTCTTTCCTTCTTTTTCTTTTCTCGATACCGATATCGTTTTCTCTCTCTCTCTCTTTCTTTCTAATACTTTTTTATTTTCCATCCCTTTCTAACCCACTCTTCTTCTTTCTTGTCTTTCACCTGACGTCCAAGTCTCGTTTTCTCTTTCTCTCTTTCTTTCTTGCTTCCACTCTAACTTATCACGACTTTACCCTTAGCCGATTTAATAGGAACGATAAATCGCGAAGAGCTACTAAATCGACGGAAAAGGAAACACGTCGGTCGACGTAGAATCGAGACGAGAGAGCAGTTCTAGGATACGTTGCCGTAATTTATCTCTTACTATGATAGAGAACACATTATGCGAATTCTAGCGACATCTTCTTCTATCCGTTAGGAGACTTATCAATGTCTCTTATATTTGACCTCAGAGGATCGAGGGATTCTCATTTTACGATAAAATGTGTGTATGAAAGATAACGAAAACGGATATGCTATTCTTTCTTTTTTTTCTATTGAACTCAGTATATAACCTATTATATGGTATTGGTTTTATTTCTATTTTTCGAATTTTTTCTTCTGGAAAAAAAGAAACATTTATTTATTGTGATTTTTATCGTTTACTTACAATTAGAGATATTTGGATTTGCTGATTAATCCGTATGTAGACGATATATATTATTTTTTATTATCCGTGTTTATTCGTTTAAAATCCTATATACAATATGCCGTTGTCCAGTGGCACCACATTTGTATTGAACAAATGTCTGACGTGCAAGGGTTTACAAATTTCAAAAGACATTCGTTACGTTTTACTATGATTACTTCTATATAAAATTTACTTCTATATATACACCTTATGGAAGATCAACGATCGGATACTTCGACTTACGACCTATTCGAAATTCATTAAACGTCCAGTCGAATTCTGAAAAATTTATGTAGGTCAGAGTATATTCTTATGCTATGAAAGTATCGAGAACACATCTGTTTATTTATTGACTCGTCGTGCCGTGTTTTGAGAATTTATTTAGGTCAACGATATCTTTATATGTTAGATATATATATATATATATACGCGTATCATAAACACACGTGTTTTTATTATCGATTAAATGAGTTGAATTAAAAAAAAAAATATATATATATATAGGTCAATGATACTTTTATGTGAAATGTGTCACATTTGTCTAACATTGACGTGTTCAGTCAAATTCTAAGAATTTATTTAGGTCAGTAATACCTTTATTTAGCGCGTATTGAAAAACCACTTGTTTTTTATCGTTTTAACAGAATGAGTTGTCCGTATTAAAGTAGGTAAGTATTAACTGTATATACGGTCTTGAAAAAAAAAAGTTTACACTTTTTCCTTGTTTCAATGAGGCCATCCGCTTACGTTTATATTTAATATCGTGAAAGAAAATTGATTAGAGTGTATATGTATTATGTCTTTCTTTGAAGAGATATAAAATAATATATAGAACTAATTGTAAATTCGAAATAAATAATAATAATAATAATAATAATAATAATAATAATAACAAATAAAAATCTACATTTTATTAAATTTATATATAATAATATTTAATAGATATATTAAATTTCAATTAAATGGAACAAAAAAAAGAATAAATTCTTTCTTTAGGGTAAACTTTAATACCAAAATAATCCTTTTAACACCGTGGCTCTTCTGTTAAGTACTTTAATAAATCCGAAAATCTATTGGAAAAATGAATTCTCTCCGATGCATTTATAGTTGATTCGAGAACGTACGAATGCATTGAGAAAAGAGGTGAGAATGGGAAAATGGTTTGATGAAATAGTGAAAAAGGTTAAAATTTTTATTTCGAAATTGGTTCCTTTGATTTTTATCGACGAGATAGTTGAATTTTCTGGAAAGCAACGACAGGTTTTCCCTGTGTATGGTATGTAACAGGCTGTGCATGAAAGTACAGTGTCATAGCATGAGATAAACTTGAACGCGCCCTGATTACAGCGGATAACGGGTCGAGCTCGATCGTATGACATTTCCGCAAAACGTTCGAAAATTTAGCAGGCACCGGGCTACTAGCATTTACCTTCGTGTTATGTGGTCGTGGTTAAACGCTCATGCATCGGTTAACGTGTCTGGGTAACTGATGTTGTGAGTTTGACTTGTAGCTGTCGACGGATCGTTCGCAATTATTATTATCACCCAACTCCATTTTCTTCCCCCCCCCTTGCATGTATCATCATAAACATCTTTGAAATCATCCCTTTTGTTTCACGTTGAAACATATACAAAATAAAATTTTGAATTAAACTGTTGACAAAACTTTGTCATTTTTAATTTTAGGTTTGAAGTGATATAAGGCTTTGAGGCGAAATGTCAGGTTTACTGACGTTTAATTTTAACTGACGTTTTCAATTTATTTAGATTTTTCAATATAATAAAAAAATTTAAAGGGCAAAATAAATAAAATTTCGTATATACATATATATTTTTGGTAAGAGTATATACAATTCGTTATATATATCTAGAGGAACGAGATTATCTGTTTCTAATTAAGTTAAAACTTGTAGGAAATTTGTCTTTAAAGCTTAGACAGTTAACATTAGTTGTTCTATGTATTTGCTTAGAAAACAAAAAGTTCAAATTTGAATTTCGATCGAGAAAATTCGATTTATCTCACTAATATTACGTATACAGCAAAAATAAAAAAGAAAAAGAAAGAAAAGGAGCATTTATTTGTATGTACATGTACATAGTATTAGCACTTTAAAAACCGATCGATTTGCTGCAAACTCAGGGCCGCGGTAAATTAAATACAAATGAAAAGTACTGTACAACAACCGCTACTAATGCGTTTTGCATAAAACAACATTTAAGATGACTGTTTCGTTGCAAGAGAAAAGTAGGACGAGAAAAGATTAAGCAGTACTTAAAATTGTCTCTACGATTTGTTAACACCAAATAATACAAAATCTAAATTCACTTTACTATTCGTCTGGAAAGTAGAAAAGAAACTATCACAGGATTTAAAGATTATGTCGAACGAAATTTCTAATCGATTCTCGAAAAGATCCTTCGTTAAAAACTTGTAATAATTAATCGATAGAAATGCGAATTACTTTTATAAGATCAACGTGTAAGATTAACCATGAGACTTTAATCGCGGACAGTTTCAGTATTCGGAATTCGCTACGTTTTCACAGGTTGGGTGCATTTGGCGTAACATGGTTCGCGGTCACGTAGTACATACATATATAGGTTACCGCTTTATCTAGTTTATCTACTTTGGAAGCGGTGCAAGTACTGGGAGAACTCGCGCGTGGACGAATTAGGTTCATTTTCCAACGGGCAAGTGGATTCCTCTACTTCGTTTCTATCCCTCCCTCCCCCTCCCTCTAGGGAAAGCGGTTTGGTATGAGGGAGAAATTACCATAATCTAAGAGACAAATTAGAAACTCGTCCCCTGGAGGAAGAGGGAAAACTCGTAGGAGGAGGAGGAGGAGGTGTAAGTAGAGGAGGTGGTGATGGGGGGTGGTGGTAGTGGTGTTGCTACTGCTAAGGGAGACCAAGTCGATTAATCGAGGAGAAGCGGTCGCGTTAGTCGTGACATTGCATAATTCAAAGCCATACTCTCGTTTTAACGTCAATTGTAATTTAATCGTCCGAGATTTAACTCGAAAAGCCTCGAAAATGTTTGAGAGATGGCTTTTACGCAGGTCATTTCGCGCACCTATCTTGACTAAAGTGATCTCGTTGATAGTGATTCATGAATTATCGCGAATTAAATAAGAGAGTTCACAGATACAGAATTCTGTTATCGAATATCGACAGGAATCTATATAGATACTTATAGTAATTTGATAAAATGATTATTCCCGAAGGAGAAAGGAACACGAGGATAAAAGAAGATATTCGTTATTTACGTATATTCTGTTAACTTAAGTTAACCCAACTTA